AAGGTGGCCTGTCACAGGCCTGGAGAGGAGAGACAGAAATTAGGGAGGATGGTCTCCCTGTGCCTGGGCAGCTTTCTCTGTTCCTCATCCTTCCCAGTGGGGAAGGGATGGAACAGACATAGTCTGGCCAAGGCTGTCAGCATTTAGGGGACTCTGAGTTTGGAGTCAATTTGAGAACACAGATGCAGGAATCTGACAGATGGAAATCACATCACTTCATTTCTAAGACGGGCTTGAAGACTGTGGATTTGATAGGCAGCCATAATTGGGTTCCCTAATACTCACCCCATCCCCCACTTCTAGACCTTGAGATCACCCATCTGGGGTGATCTGAGTGTGTACAAGAGCTGACATGCACACTCTGACACCTGACTACCAAGGGGGGTTGGGGATAGAGCCTCCCACAGATCTTTCCCTAGAAGGCTGGCCTGGATCCTGACCCCTTGCATTTCCCACATGGAGACAGGGCAGAGCTGAATGCCCCCATCTCACCCCCACCCTTTGGGCAAGCAGACCAAAGAGAAAGAGAGAACCAAGAAGGCTGAGAGTCACTTCCTGAACTAGGATGCCTAGTCTTTTTTTCCTCTCAAAATCAACTATATTTAGATTTAACTCTCATTATAATGCACATCCAATGTAAGTATATAGTTTTATGAGTCCTGACAAGAAAAACACCCGTCACCACCACTGTAATCAAGTTTATAGACCATTTCCATCATCCCTAAACATTCCCTCTGCCCCTTTGTAGTAAATTGCTCCCCCACCTCCAGGCCCAGGCAATCAATGATCTTCTTTCTGTCATTATAGATTAGTTTTGCCTGTTCCAGTGTTTTGTATAAATGAAACTTCTGTGTTTGGCTTCTTTCACTCAGCAGGATGAGTTATCTATATAAGTAGATCATTCCTTTTCATTGCCGATTAGTATTTCATTAGTATGAATATTGGTATGATATACCAAAGTTTATCCATTTACCTGTTGATGTGTATTTGGGTTATTTTGAGTTTTTTTGCTGTTATGAAAAGAGCCTAGTTTCTTCTTTTAATCTCAGCAAATAAATCATTCCTATTCCTATGGGTGGGAGGGGAGAGAAGCTTGCCAGTACATTGAGCATTAACATATTTCCCACGTTAGTGCACATTAGAATCACTAGGGGGCTTGTTAACGCACTGCAAAATGGCAGTTGCTGGCTGCCACTTTCAGAAGTTCTGATTCAGTAGATCTGGGGTGGGCCAAGAATCTGCATTTCTAACAAGTGATGCTGATGCTGCTCTTCCAGGGACCATATTCTGAGAACCATTGGTCTTGTGGCATCTCATTGAGGAAACAGGAGAACAGGGAGGTGAAGTGCCCACGATATGGTGCTGTACTCCTCACAAACCTCATTTATACACAGCCCTATTCACTTCTTAGACAAATGGAAGCTTAGCGATGGTTTCCTCTAACAGGTTTATTGAGGTACAATTTACATACCATAAATTCACTTAAGTATAAAATTCAATGATTTTTAGTAAATTTACCAAGTTGTGTCACCATCAACATAATCCAGTTTTAGAACATTTTTATCACTCCAGTAAGATCCGTTATGTCAATTTTGTTAATCCTTGTTTCTATTCCCAGTCTCGGGCAACCACTTTCTTTCCTTATAGGTTTGCCCTTTCTGAATGTTTCAAGTGAATAGAATCATGCAATATGTGGTCTTTTCTTCTGGCTTCTTTAATTTAGCATAATGTTTTTTCCTCATTGTCGTGTGTTTTAGTACTTTTCAAAGACTTACTGAATAGTATCCCATTTAATACTATACATATGCCACTTACTTGTATGGGTACACCATGTTTCGTTAGACCATGAATCTGGCCATGGACCTGTGAGCTGTTTTTTGGCTATGATGATTAATGCTTCTCCGAACATTCCTGTATAAGTCTCTGTATGGACATGTTTTCATTTCTCTTTGGTATATACCTAAGAGTAGGACTGCTGAGTCATGTAGTAAATTTATATTTAACATTTTAAGAAACTGCCAAATTGTTTTTCCAAAGTGGCTGTACCCATTTATATTCCCAGCAATGCCCATTTTCTCTAAATATGCTTTTCTATAAGAGGAATACAAGGAAATCTGAGATCCACCGAAATGTATTCAAAATACCATTCATTAAATACTTTAAGTGCACACACAGTAGTGTGGGGACAGTTGTTGCTTTACATTGGTTTCAATCTTGGTTACACGTTAGAATCACTAGGGAACTTTAAAAAATCGTGGTATCACATGGAGTACTATTCAGCTCTAAGAAACAATGGTGATATAGCACATCTTATATTTTCCTGGTTAGAGCTGGAACCCATACTACTAAGTGAAGTATCCCAAGAATGGAAAAACAAGCACCAGATATATTCTCCAGCAAATTGGTATTAACTGAGTAGCACCGAAGTGGACACATAGGTACTACAGTAATAGGGTATTGGGCAGGTGGGAGGGGGAAGGGGGCGGGTATATACATACATAATGAGTGAGATGTGCACCATCTGGGGGATGGTCATGATGGAGACTCAGACTTGTGGGGGGAGGGTGGAAATGGGCATTTATTGAAACCTTAAAACTGTACCCCCATAATATGCCGAAATAAATAAATAATATAAATAAAAAAAATAAAGAAAAAAAAATCGTGGTATCCTAGCCACGTCTCAGACAATGACAGCAAAGACACTGTGAGGGTGGGTGGGAAGGCATTAGGCCTTTAAAACTTCCCAGGTGATTCCAGCATGCAGGCTGAGAACCTCTGCTTTAAAAAGAAAATGTTTGTCGAGTCATTCACAGAGATAATGAGTGTAATAGGTTATAGCTGAAGAAAGACAGTGTCTATAGGACAAACTGAGTGAGACTGGAGAAGTTCTATGGCTAGAGAAGGAACAAAGGATGTACTGTCTGGCAACTAGGGCCTTCTGTGATTATCCTCACATACTTTTCCTGGTATTATTTCAGCCATGAAGTGGAGGAGAGAAGATGATAACTAAAGGGGGTGGATGGGATGGGGACTCAAAGGTTTCAATGGGCTGTTTGTTTTAGATGGGAGAGACTTGAACTGTTTAAATGCCAATAGGCAATCCAGTTCATCAGGAATAGCGGTAACTGGTGGGTAAGAATCTATCTACCAAGGAGGAGAGAGATGTCCATATCCAGATAGAAAGATAAATCCTAGATAGGAGGGAGGATGGCTCTATCTTTACAGGAAGTAGAGGCAGAGGATGGGAGTTTATTGAGGAAGGGATTTTGGTATGCTAGCAGGAAGAAGAGGGAATTCCCATCTGTGTGTTTCTTTTTTTCTTTTTTCAGTGATTTGTGACGAAAGGTCATTTTGTAGAAAGCGATTTGTGAGGGTAAGTGGGTAGTGAGGACAGGGTTGAATGTCTGAGTGGAGAAGATTTGAAATAGTCACTGTTGAGCGTGAGAATGTAAGTTCACCTGAGAAAGACAGCAGGTCTCCTGGGCACTGTTGAGAGTTGAACCATTTGAATTCACAGTGAAACTGATCTTCTCCATTCTGCCACTCAGCTCCTAGGCACAGGCAGGAGAAAGCAGACAGCAGACTTGATCCTGAGTCACACGATATCGACATAGGTGTTTAGAAAAGACAGAAGGGCAAAGGACCACAGTGTAAAGCAAAGTGTGTTTTCAATATGGACTATAAAATCTGTGCTGGAGAAGGGATGGAGGAAAGGAATGAGCTGAAGGCTTGGGAGAAAGCAGAGGGGACAATGGGTGGGAGGTGCACAGAATATACCATTATGGAGGTAGAGATGTCAAGGAACTGAGCTTAGGGACTGATGGACTGCTCCGGTGAGTAATGGCAAAGCTTGTCTGCACTTCCTCACCTTCTTCCAACTCTTCATCTAGTCCAGTCTGTTACCACACTCCACTAAACAGCTTTTACCAAGGTCTCAGAGGACCTCCATATCTTCACATCCAAAAAATATTTTCCAGTCTTAATTTTGCTTGGTTTTTCAGTACCATGCGACACTGTAAACCACTCTCTGGTCTTGAAACGGTCTCTCTCACTGATGTCCAAGACAACACATGCATCTTATTTCTGCCTGACTTCTCTGGCTGCTGCTTACTGGTCTCCTTGAGAGGTCTGTCTTCCTCGTCTTGTCCACTGTATCTGGGAGTTTCTTAGTGAGGTGTAGTCCTCTGCCCTTTTGTCCATATTCTCTCCCTAGACAGTCTCATCTGTGCCTCTTGGCTGAAATTGCTATGCTTCATCTCAGAAGTTTCCTTTGAGCTTTAAGGCCATGTATCTAAATCCTACTAGGCATTTCCACTTGGGTGGCTTAGAGGTCTTCAAACCCCTCATTTATTAACCTGAATTTATAACTTACCCCCAAGTCTGATTCTTCTCCAATGTTTGTGCCGATGTGAACCTCATGTCTGGTCACAAACCTAAGCACCCTCCTTGATACCTCCCTTTTCCTCAACACCCCCATACCCTAACCCTAACCCAACCCAATATGCCCAACAGTTTTGCTTCCTAAATATATTTAGAATCCACTTGCTTCTCTCCACCTCCAGTGCTATGCTGGGATCCAGCTTCCATCATCTCTTCTCTAAATTACCACACAGCTTCCCAAAGGCTTCACATTTTTGGGGTCCCTCCAGTCCATCCTCCACACAAAATCCCATGACCTCCCCACCTCCCAAACACAAATCTGATCATACAACCCTTGACTTAAACCCCTTCAACTGCTTCCTGATTTCTGGCTACTGAATGAACACAAAAGCTTGTCACTGGTTCCCAAGCCCCAGCAGGGCCTGGCCCCGCACCTGCTCTGGGCACTCTGGCCCGTGCTGTGCAGCAGCTCTGTCCTGCCTTCTCCTCCCCACGGCCCCCTCATCCCCTGCTCTCAGCTCGCACCTCTTCAGGGAAGCCTTCCTGACCACGTCGACCAGGCTGGGCTCTGCCCGCATCTGCTCTCACAGAGTGGCGTGCCTTCCCTTCACAGCGCTTACCTCAGCCTGGAGCCGCACATTCGTCTGGGTGGTTGTGGGATGGTGTCCATCTTCTCGCACCAGACTCCATGGCAGCAGGAACCACATCTGGTTTTGCTCATCTCGAATCCTCCCTACTTAGCAAAATACCCGGCTCTAGTGGGTACTCAGAGTTTTGCTGTCATTGTTACTAGGAACCACAGGATTTAAGCACAAAGGTATCTTAGAAACCATCTGCTATCTGTCATTTTCAAGCTGAGGAAACAGAGGGCCGGAGAGGTGGGAGGTTAGGGGCTCATTCATACACGGTCACACAGCTAGTAGATGGCAGAGCCGGAATTGCAGAATCTCTTTCCACCTCCACCCAGGACGATTTACTGATTTAATATAAATACTCAGGTAGTATTTTCTCCTCCTTTTATTTATTTATTTTGTAAGTGAAAAAGAATTGCTATCTGTGTTTAAACTGTGCTTTTTTTGTGTGCTATACCATCACGAAGCATCAAACCATCGGTGGCAGACAAAACAGCATCCTCTGGAGAAGGGAGAAGCCTTTTCGGGATGCGCCCCTCCCTTATCCCCGCTGACTTGCGGCAGTGACAGGGATGTCTGGTGGGACCCAGGATGCACGATCCTCCCTCTCCTGTGCTGCCTTCCTCCAGGCCCCCTCAGAAGGGGGAAGGAGAAGGTTAAGAAGGCTCACAGTGCCACATGCTTGCTCCCTGGAAGCCGAGAACTCATCAGAGAAAGTTGCCAATCCCATTTTCCCCTGTGGCAGCAGGCGATCTCAGATCACAGTCTGGTTCTCAGGATTGGTTGGCGCTGTTTCCAGCGGCCGCATTTTCCTGCAATCCTGTTTCTTTTGCACTGAATAAAGCACGGGAGCCCTCTGGTGGTAACTGCAGGAAATCTCACGCACGGGAGAAAGTCAGTTCGGGTGGGAAGTCTCAATTCCTCCAGTTCCTTTCCCTTGCCTCCACGAGCCATTTCCAAAATCAGCCCTGGTTTATTAGAGGTAAACCAGGGGCACTGTAAACCTTCTGAACAAGAAGGTTCGTACCATCAAGAGACCACTGCTTTTTGTGGTCAGGATTACATTTCGCCAGCCCCCTTCTGCTCAACAGAGTCCCAGACGTGCCCTCCAGGGTAGAAATATCAGCTCTATCTAGCATTTCACAGTTCACTTCTGCAATGTGTTATCCACATCACCTTGTAGAGAGGGGAGCTCTGAGTCCACAGGAGGTCTTGTGGGTAAATAAGGGGAGTGGAACTGGGGATAAGCCAGGCCTTGGCTGCTTGCAGAGCTGGACAGGTTTGAGACAATGAGAAGAACCAGGTTGGAGAGAAGGGAGTGGATGACAGACACAGGATACTTGCGAATGTCCACCAGGCGTCCCTAAACTACCGCCCGCTCGTGGGGCCACATGCAGCCCGCTGATGACATTTATCCCGCCCCATGGGTGTTTTTGCTGCTGCTGCCTGTCCTGCTTAGCAGCTGACTCGTCCCGGGCCCACAGTGCTCACTCTCCAACCATCTGAGGGACAGTGAACTGGCCCCCTGTTTAAAAAGTTTGAGGACCCCCGCAAGCTGTCTCATCAAGCAGGAGGGTTAAGAAATGCAGGCTGCCTGTGGCCAGGGAGGGTGCAGGTCCAGGCATGCAGAAGAGAGGGGTCCTGACTGGGGGCAGGCACTGGGAACCAGGCTTTGGGAGAGGAAAGGAAAGAACACCAGATTTCTGGAATCTTTTGTTCTTAAAAGGCTGGTAATATCTGGTCTTGCTTTTCATTAAAAATTTTTTTGCCATGCCCTATTTTATTAGCTTTATTTTAGATTGTATTTAGTTCTGTATTTAATTTGCTCTGCATAGGATAGCCTTGTAAAATTAAAAATCAAAATTTTCACTATTTTACAACACTAGGAAACATATGTTTGAAAAAGTTAAAAATCACGAAGAGATCAAGACTGTTTAATAGTTACTCTTTTGACGGAAATCCAATCACAGTTGCCTGAACTGTTACATATACCATTACTTGGACATTCACACTCCACTAGGAACATGATAAATTACAAAAGAGAGAGGGACTTTTAAAACCACATTTAATTTTTAATACAAAATCTGTTGCACTATTACAGAAGTGACCCCTTCATGCACAGACAAATTTAGCATCTACCGGAATGGAAGAGGGAAAAACTGTGTTTTTATTGTTTTCCCCAAACATTGGCAAATTTAAAGTAACTTTTATCTTTGTGCTCTCTGATGCCAAGGCAAGCCTGTTTTGTCTTTTTATATTTCCAATAGACAGGATGATCTGTGAAAAGTGAATATAGAGACATGAAAGTTTTTAGGGCCATCTTTACCTGGGATTACTTCAAACTATGCTTTACCTACATATGTCAAAGTTGACAGATGACAAGGCCTACTGTGCTGCATAGGCAAAGCTCTGAGGATTTCATCTAGAAACCTGCTGTCAATATGTAGAAAAGTCCACTATTTCAGTTTCACAGCAAAAAGGGGGGAAAAAACCCAAAAGTAGATACTTTCCAATCCCATGCACTGTATTAATTAGCTTACTTCTTATACAGTACAACATAAACATTGTTTGCATGTTTATTTGTATGTAACTCCTATAAGCATATAGCATCTACACTTTAAGTGTATTTACAAATTCAACAAAATATCTACATATAAAAAGCTTTACTTAAAATTAAACTTGATGCAAGTTATGAGAAACCAATTTATTGGCAAATGAAACTGAGCATCCCTTCAACCATAGGTTGTTATAGATTTTCATATTTGGAGGTAAACCATCATTTGATAGATATTGTTTATGAATATGATAGAATATATATATATTTATTTTTAAAATTGCAGATGTAATCCCTTTGACTATTGGCCTGTTAAGCACTTGTTATATTTCTTACAGTCTGAAATGTATCTGTAGCAATTTGTGTACATACACCTTGCTTAATGCTGCAGAGAGTTTTGAAAGCTCACATAGGTAAAGTCTGAGAGAATGATGTATGCCTGTTGACATGCTGTTGCATGCTTTTAGTTTTGAAATCATTTGTTTGGTTTGTTGATTAATTTTCTAGCATGTTGACATCTTTCTTACTAAATGTAACAGAAAGCAAAAAGGACCACAAAAAATCATTTTGTGCTCCGGTTGGTGACAAAGATTTTCTTTTATATGTACAAGGAAATGCTCTTTAAAATAAACTGTCTCATGATTTTTATTTCCACATTTCCTTTCTTCTCAGCACGGCAGTTTTCATTAACTCTGCTTTTTGAAAGTTACTTTTAGACAATGACAGTGATCTGGGACTTGGAATTGCCTGTGCCAGCTGATAGAGAGTGCAGTGTGTTATGGAATGCTTCTCGTCTGAAGGCACTGCATGTGTCTTGCCCTGTGTTCTCTGGAATAATTTTTGAAACTTCATCTGAGTGATTTGTTTTCGATTCTTTCAGTATGGCACACGCGCCGAAATGCATTGCAATGCACATTGTTTATGCCTAAAAACAACTGAACATAGAAGTGATGTGAAGTAGAACACTGTGCTGCTGTAATACCTGGAAGATTAAGGAGCCTATGAAGTAACAGGAGCCAAGAGCAGGTAACAGAGTCTCAGTAAGCATCAGCAAATGCGACTGTCATAATTAACTCATGTAGCAAGTATATACTGTACATACTGTTCCTAACAGTCTCCCAAAAAGACTAACGACAGCTAGACATAGAGTCACCAATTTCACAACAATGTCCACAAAGACATTGAAGTTCTAGAGAATACTACAGTAACACTCTTGACAATGAAAACGGAATTCATATTCAGGGGTTCAGCTGAGGATAGTATAAACAAAGTATCAAACCATGTTTTTATAACATACATAGGTATGTCCTTTAAATGTGTAGCATTTTTCATGCATCATATTGAACTGCATCCTGAAGAGGAAGTAGCATGATCTGTTGTTGATATTGAAGGATTTTTTTTATCAGTTCTGAGGAAATCAAAATACCCATCTTGAATGGAAAAGGTTGCATTTTGCACTCCAGTTCACATTAACATATCATCTGACTGGGTTATGTTTTTGCTCTGACTGTTCTCATAATATTAACATATAGCAGAAATATATACTCTCTCCCCATATGTTCATAGTATGAGAGGACTGACAACCAAGTGCTTAAGATAAACATTCTAGAGAAATGGGATATTGGCAAAGAGCTCAAAAATTAAACAAAGGAATTCATGGCGTTGACAGGAGAAGGTGCCTCTGAGCTTTCATTTCCTTCAGCCGGTTCTTTCTCTTTCTTACCACTGTATTGTCCAATAAAGGAGCCATCCTCATTGAACTGGCCATTAACCCCTTCTCCATAGTCAACTAGGCTGTCATCACTATCTTCTTTTTTCACAGTCCTGTCTGAAGGAGTTCTACTTCCTTTTTTCAAAGGCTTGTGGTCTTCTGCATCACTGGAAGAAAGAGAAGAGACATTTTTGTCAAGACTGACGTTTAGGTTAATAGTTTTTGTTTTTAAAGATCATGCATGCAAATTATGAAAAAGCATTTGGAGTCCTGGGCTTCTCTAGCCAAATCTAATTGTCAGGTTGACTCCAATGACTAGGATGGGTTGGAATGAAAGTCAGGAGCCGAAATGGTTGAATCATGAAGTCTTCAGTAGAGAGGATGGTTCCCGATTGTGCATGTTAATTTTAATGACAGATTCTGATTCCTGAGTTGAAAGCAATCCAGAAATAATCACAAGCATTAAAAAAGGAAAAATTGGGAAAAGTTGAAAATCATCACTATGTTGAATTCAAAAGGGGGCAAAAGCTTATGGCAAGTAGAGAAATTAGTATGTTAAACTGCGTAATATCTCTGATTCCTTGGATATGAATGGAGCATGATTTTAGTTAAGTGTGAAGTATGGATTTTTTTTCTGAGCTATAAGGAGAAGCAAAATCCTGCATTTCAAATAATTTTGTTATCAAGTGCAGGCCAGACTTGTAAACTTCAACCTTACCTTTCAAGAGACCTACAAATTCCATTAAAAGGATGCAGAAGAAACAAATGAAAATAGCCTAAGAAGAAAAGCAAAATCCTTATACTGATAGTACACAGTATTTGTTTTCTGTAAGAATTTTAGTTAATGGGTAAAGATTTATTAATTTGGAAAGAGATACATTTTAACTTAATGGCACTACATTGGTACTGTGAATGGCATGCCAACATATTCTAAATAATGTGAATGATTCCAAACATATAAAAGCAAACACTTTCTACACTTATCTTAACCCCCCACCCCCTCTCCCAGTAGGTTAGGTAGCTTATCCATGTTAGATGGGAATCTGAGTAGTGTCCTTTAATAAAACTGCACAGGACTCTATTATTATTATTATTACTTGCTTATTTTTCTGTTGAATTCCAAAGCACAACTTCTGGAAGTAGAAGAATAATCATTATGTATTAGAATGTCCACCCACATGGTCATGTAACTAGATACATATATTGACCTATTCCTTAATAGGTAACATTTGGGGGAAAAAATAGAAAACAGGCAATGACAGAATCCAATATTTTGTTTGCTTTCAGAGAATAAAAATGCAAGGCAAAATAGGAAATACACACAAAAAATCTTAGTAAAAATAAAAAGCCTTAATATAAAAAAGAGGTCACCTTGGCTGCACTATTTCATCCAGCAATTTATGCTGAGACTTTACTGCTTCCTCTGTTTCACAGAGTGACTTTTTTTCTAGCCAAGATAAAATAATTCAAGATGCACAAGTATCTTAGCTCTTTTGCCAATAACTTTTACTAGTGGTTTCAATTTTTCTCCAAGAAAAAAATCTGAAGACTGGGTAATAATGCTAGTATAATATGACACAGGCATATGCTATTGAAAATGACCTATTTTAACACTATACAACTTCTTGTTGCATATTAAATAAGCTATATCATCACCACTGCTAATAGACAGCTGGGGAGGAATCACAGAACCTTAGGGTGCCTTGTGTTTAGGGTACTTCAGAGGACATAGCATCCAGTGTCCAACCTGTGACAAAAAAACAGCTGATGCAACAACTTTGGGACTTAATCACTAACTTGTAGGTTTGCTTGAACACTTCCTGTGAAATATAGCTCATGACTTGGTGACACAGTTAATTCTGCTGAAGAGTTCAATAATGAGCAGAATTTTGTCACTTGGATGCCAACTATTAGTTTTATTTTTGCTTCATAGAACTAGTGTCCCATGAAATATACTATAGGAAATTCTCATCTGTAGCATTTCTTTGGTCAGGCATCTATCCACCCATCCCTTCATCCAATTAATGTTTATTGAGTGCCTACTCTAAAAACAGGTATTGTTCTAGGCACTGGGGATATAAAAACAAACAAATAGACCAAAGCTCTGACCTTACTGAGTTTACTTTGAGTGGAGGGAAATACAATAAACAACCAATATAATAAAAAAATTAGTTATTTATTATGTCAGAAGGTGATTAGTGCTATGGAAAATACAGAGCTTAGTAAAGAGGATGGAAGGTGTCAGGGGAGGGTATGGAGAGTTGACATTTAAATAGGAAGTCCAGGAAAGCCTCATGATGAAGTGACATCTGGTCAATGACTTTAGAGTTGAGTTAGCCAGGTGGAAAGCTGAAGTGAGAGCGATTCCAGCAGAGTTACAAGCAGTACAAATGCCCTGAAGTAGGGATGAGTCTGGCATGTTCTAGCAACAGTAAGGAACTTGGTGTGGGGGGGAGAAGGAGGGAAGGAGGGAGGGAGGATGTGAGCAGCATAGGAATTAAAGTAAGAGAGGTGGCAGGGCTGATCAACGCCTTGTGGGACTTTGTAAAGATCTTGCCTTAACTCTGAGTGAGATGGGAAACCCATGGAGGGTTTTCGAAGGATAAATGACATGATCTGATTTATAGTTTAAAGCCATTACTCTGTCATCAGTGTTGAGAATAGGCTACTCTAGAGGGTAGAGAGATTGGTCAGCTATGGCAAAATTGGACCATGTTCATTTATTATGGATTGCCTATGGCTACTTTTGCATTACAACAGCAGAATTGCAGAGTTGCAGTAGAGACCATTTTAGACCAGAAAGTCTAAAATATTTAGTTTGCCAAACCCTGCTCTAGAGAGTTGGGGGAGACTACCGCAGTAATCCAGGAGTGAGATGACTGTGACATGGAGCAGAGTGGAACATTGGAGTGGTTACAAATGCTCAGATTATGAACATATTTTAAAAGGTAGAGCCAACAGGATTTTATGATAGATTGGATACGGAATAATAGAGAAAAAGATGACACCAAGATTTTGGGGTTGAGCAACAGGAAGCTTGGGAGTGTGTTTCAGGTGGTGGATCGTGGGTTCAATTTTGGACATGTTAAAGCTTGGACATGTCAGAAGAACTGCTCTATTAATCAGTTTATGAGGCTAGTATAACACTGATATCTAAAACCAACAAGAACACTTTGAGAAAATCAAATTACAGGCTGATCTCATTCATGAACACAGATGAGAAAACCCCAAATGAACTATGAGCAAATCAAATTTAGCAATCTTCTATAAAGATAATATGTCATATTCATGTTGAGTTTATTCCAGGTATGTAGCTTTGCTTTAGCATTAAAACTTCAATTCATATAATTCACCTTTTTAGCACAATAAAATTGAAATATCTTATGCCCATCTCAGTATATTTAGAAAACAGGTATATGACAAAATTTAACACCGGTTCATGATAAAATCTTTAAGAAAGTATCTGCATTAAGATGATTAAGGGTACCTATAAGAAACCTAGAGTAAACATCATCCTTGGTGGTGAATGTTGAAAGCTTTCTGTCTGAAATCAGAAATAACAGGCTGCTATCACCACTTCTAATCAAAACTGCATTAGAAGAACTGAGCAATTTGATGAGAAAAAGAAATAGATGAAAGGAAGCTATCATTATTCATAACTGATATGATTATGCATATAAAAAATCCAGAAGAATCTACAGACAAATATTAGAATAAAAAGAAAGCTGTCTGATACAACATTAGCATAAAGGTCAATTTTATTTATGCTCTTGAAAATAATTAGAAAATGAAATTTAAAAAATTAGTTCATTTATGATACCATAAAATATGAACCAGATAAGAACAAATTCAACAAAATATTTGTAAGACCTCTATGAAGAAAATAAACTTTTACTCAGAGTTATTAAAGAAGACCTAAATAAATGGAGGAATATAACACATCCGTGGATGGAAGACTCCAGTACAGTAGATATGTTAACATTTCCCACATTGCTCTTTAGATGCAATTTATTTCTAATAAAAGCCCAGCAGGTTTTCATGTGCATCTTGGCAAGCTGATTCTAAGATAAATATGTAAATGAAAAGGCCAAGAATATCTAAAATGCTCTTGAAGAAGAAAATCAAAGCTGGAGGACTTGATCAAGACTTATTAAAAACTATATTATTAAGACAGTGTAGTTTTGGTGCAGAGATAGACAAACTGATCAGTGGAATGGAATACAAGGCCCTGTAACCAGTGGAAGATATTTTTTTTTTGGCTTCATTCTTACATCATATTTTTATGCTATCATAACTAGAATAATTTTTAAATTCTTACTTTCCAATTGTTTTCTGGTATGCAGAAATATAATTGACTTTTTGTTAATTTTGTGTCAAGCAACATTATTAAATTCTCTTACTCTAATATTTACCCATAGATTCATTTGGATTCTTACATACACAATTGTACCAGTTATGATTAATGACCAGCCAAGAAAGGGCTCTAAGGAAGCATCCAGCTTAATGGCTGCAGTGGAAGAGACAGAGTCTACAGCAACACAGGCTGTGCTTGAAGGAACAGAAGGAAGGATGGGTGCTCTGTCAACAAACAGAGTCTTTCCAGGAAAAGCTGCTCAAAGTCACCAAGATCTTTTTAAGACTAGTCTTTAATAAGTGGTGTAATGTAACACTGTACTCAATAATTAGAATGTAGTTAAATAAGAAAAAATGATCTAAGTCACAAGGACAGTGGCTGGCACATGGCTTGTGTCCAACAAGAGTAAGTGTCCATCCCCCGTCACACCTCTTCTCTCCACTCCAGGCCGTCACTGCAGAGATATTTTTTTTTCCTAAAAAATACCTTGTACAACATACACAGAAAGCTTTCTAGATGTGATGAATGATCACAAGTCTGTGTGAAGCACTGTATTAGTGCTTGCCTTTTTTCAACTCAAAGATGAATGTTACAATGAAATAGTAAATAAATTGCTTTTGATATTGTGCTAAGGGGAATATATTCCCTGTCAAGTTTTTTTTTTCTTTCTTTTCTTTTTGAGAAACAGGGTCTCACTCTGGCACCCAGGCTAGAGTACAGTGGCACAATCACAGCTCACTGCAACCTTGAACTTCTGGGCTCACATGATCCTCCTGCCTCAGCTTCCTGGGTAGCTATGACTATAGGTGCATGCCACCATACCTGGCTAATTTTTTTTAAAAAAAAATTCTTTGTAGAGACAAGGTCTAGCTATGTTGCCCAGGCTAGTTTCCAACTCCTGGCCACTGTGGCTTCCCAAAGTGGTGGAATTGTAGGCATGAGCCACTATGCCTGGCTACATGGTCAAGTTTAAATGTGAAAGGGTAGTTCCCCAAATGAGAAGAATCAAAAAGTTACAGAAGATGATTTAAAAGTCATTTTTACGTATGCAGCTACATAGTATACAAAGCTTTATAAAGCAAGTAAAAATTCATGCACATTTTTACAAGAACATTTAAGGACAGGATGTATTAGATGTTAATTCTTAGCTCAGGATGTCAAGGAGTAAATGAATTTCAAAATAAGTTATAGTATATATATGGCTACAAACTATATTCTTGATACTTAAATTCATGAATAAAGATCATTGTGCAGTGAAAAGAAATGCGCGCATCACAATATCAAAACTCAGATCCTGAATTGCTTCCTCTGGAAAGACTCCCTGTACCACCCTCTTTCTACGCTGCCCACTTGGCTTTGGCTTCCTGCTCCTGCTCCCTTGGCACCTTAGTTTTGTGTCTTTCATAGCACTGTTCACACCCTGGTCAATTATTCTTTTACTTCTCTGCATCCCTCACTAGACTATAAACTCCCAATGTGGAGTCAAACTCTTACTGGTTTTAATATTCCCAAGGCCTGGCATACAGTAGGCACCCAATAAATACTGGTTGAATGAATTCATTGTGAAATAACAATAAAGGAGACAGTGGGCATTTTAGCAATTTTTCTTTGTTAAAAAAATTTCATTCCTTCTTAATTTTATGATAGTAGACAAGGCACTGGAGTGTATTCTTTCCTTTTTCCTGCTCTAGGAATGAAAGTTTAGGGAATTCAATTTCTTTTTCCAACAGCACTTGGTTCAGAGTTGTACATACCCATTAAATGCCTATGGAATAAAATTCAGCAGCAGCAGATAATTTAATCATAATTCGGTCTGATTTTCCTGTAGTTGCCACCCTTCCATGGCCAAACCATGCTGGAGTTTTATTGACTTTCATGACTCAAACATTCTCTCTGACCTAGTCTCTAAAAGTCTATCATTACTCTGTTCACAACCCAGTTCATGTTTGTGAGCAGAATAAATCTAGGGTATATAACACATCTTGGCATCATTCAAGCCTTATGAGCACAGGTTAGCATGCTTGCCACAAGGCTGTGTTCACATGAATGACAAGATTCCTATGGCAAGAGACACTAATTATGCAGTCAGTTATGAGTTCAAGTACCATGGGTATATGGTTTATGATCTAGGTTCATTCTGGTTTTAAGAAGAATGGATCTAAAGAATAAAAAAATACTTACACTGTTGGTTGCATTGTTTCTCTGATTTTTCTATATGCTAGTAAGGATGTAGATCCTACTGTCTGTATAATTAAAGAAACAAACAAACAAAGCTGCAGGCTTCCACCAGAGGGTAACTGCTTGGGGCTGGGTGTTGGAGGAAGGCACAGGGTTATAGCACATGAAAAAAAAAAATCATATTGGGCCACCACTGACGTTCCATCCCTCTTTGCTCTATGAAATATCATCTGGCTCAGGGCCAACTAGGTAGAAATAGTTTCATCCTTAGGTGAAGAATGAGTAAATCATCAATGGAATTAATTTACAGTTAGGCAATAGTCTTAATTTTGTGTGTGTCTGATGATTCAGCAGAATAATTTATTTTTTAAAATAAAAGAGAATAAGAATTAATAAATAACATAGAGCTCAAAACTTCCAGAAGGTACAAGGCAGAAATAGGACCCTGGTGATTTAGGGAAGATAATCACACTTAAATGTATTATTAAAAATAAAGATTCTATAATAAACAGTAGGAACAGTTTTCATTAATCGTGACCTCTAAGATGATAAAAGTTTTCTGATCCCTTTAACTAGAAAAGGTACCAAAGGGAAAACAATTCTGAGGCAGTGTCAGAAAAATCACAGGACAGAGCCACATCTGTAACAAAAGGTGGTTGGGATTTGGGGAAGTGATTTCGTTTGTGGCATTGTCCTTATGAATCAAAAAATCATATCACTGAGTAGTGTTTCCAGTTAAGACACCCATCAGAACCTTATTTCCCTTGGTACCTACCAGATTGATGTCATTACTTGTGTGGCAAGTGTTTTTGTCTTCACTCCAATTGGGTTTGCACTCAATAGACCGAAATGAAGTCTTTCTCTCCTAAGAAGCTCAAGGCCTAAGCTAAAGACAGCCATTTGAAAATGCTTCACAAACACAGCACATATGAATTAACACTGAGACAAAGAAATAGAGCCAAATAGATGTAAAACACAGCGATTATGAGGCCAGTAACCAAGTACTTGCTATGTACTGCTCTGGAAACAAAATCATATTAAAAGTTGTTAGTAGATAGCTCGTAGAAAAAAGCTGAGTTGAAAGTAAAACTAATGGTCTCTTGATTCCAAGCTAGTTCATAAAACTCAACCTTAATTTTCATCAAGTTTTAATGGAGTAGGTAGCATAGTTACCTGGAGAAAGTCACGTGACTTTAGGTCTATAACAGAAAGTTGATATTTGAGACCCATGCGGTGAGCAGTACATTGCCAGATTCATTTAAACATGATCATGTAGAATGGGAATCCATCCCCATGTGGAGAATGGATAAGTATAATGGTTTATTGTCAATTCATGCAAATATATATATTTTTTCAGGCTATATTAAAGATTTAGCTTCCTCACAAATAAATAAAGGAGTGGCATGCATATCCTGTATAGAATTATAGCCACAAGAACTCTAAGAATAAAAAGTTATTTATTAATTGTCAGCTCATCCTCTTTACAGGAGAAATGAATGAAAGAGTGAATTAAATCAGCGAAGATTTCTACTTATCCAGTGTAAGATATGACTGCCCTCGGCTATGGGCACCTGTAGGCTGCTGTACTGTGTTATGGAAACCTTGTGGATGGACTGGGTGTGGATATGCATGAGGTTTTCATATCCTTTCAGCCCCAGAGCCAATATTTGATATCAAGACAACTCTACTAGGTATTTTTCTGTATTATGAGATACAGAAATTCTGAGAATTTTTAGAAACAATAGTTACCTCTTTTCAAAAGAAGATCAGTATATAAAAGCTTAGGTGCTGAGATAATAAAGGCAAAACGCTTGTATCTGCATGGAAACTGGTATGAAACCAGTTTTGATGAAAATATGTGGTTCTTCTAAATCAGTTCTATATTTCTCACCCTTGGTATTATTTGTCATTAAAATATGATATTCCATGGTACTGACATGATATTGACATGGAAAAATAAAAAAATGAACTCTAGAGATAGGTAAAACTTAACACAAAAATGTCACCTGGCAATCACAATAGTGAAATATTTCATTTCGCCTAAAAGCCTTTTCTTCTGGAAAAAAAGTCTCAATACGGGTTCAGCACATATTGTAAAGATTATATTTTATATAAGAGACTTATAAAAAGAAAAAAAAACAAGTTACAAAGGCATTTTATGAATAAAAGTATACTTTTAGAATACCAGAACACCAATCTTTTAAGTAAGCATATATTTTGTTTCTGGTTTTAAAGATATCGGAGATAATCATTTCTTTCTCTTTGAAAAGACCTACAACACCTAGGCAAGAATATCTTTGTTTAAAGACAATATTTTTAAAAATTCAGCTCATAGGTCATGTTAAAATTTTTCCTTAATGATAGAGTCAAGTCAAGAGGGGAATGAACATAATGCCTAGAGAGCTATGATATTTCTTAATAATTAACAGCTTCTAAAACAATCTAGTCATTTCACAACTAATGGGCAGGGGTATAGGTATTGTTTAAGAAAAACTAGCTTCATGTCTGAGATTAAAAAGTCTGCTACCACTGGTTATGAAAGTATGCTTAGAAAATGACATGTATAGTTTCCTTTACAATGCAGGTTTGGCAGGGTCTTTATTGTTTTAATTCTCACTGTAACACACTGGCTTTGCTAGGTTGGCCAATACAGCAGGGGCCCCTGGAAAATATGACAGAGTGGAAGACACACCACCTCCAAACCTGTGACCAGAATGGAAATTTGTTTTATAGTGAAAAGTGAAAATGTCTACACATTCTCCCATGAGGGATGTGTAAATATTTAGACATGGAAGTGCTTCTACCTTTATACTTGAAGAAAATGTGAAATGCCAGGCAGAGCACTTGCTGGCAAGTCCTCCTACTTTGGGGAGAGTGTTTGTGTGGGCAGAGGACATGAGGAGTGGCTGAGAAGGACAGGCTCACCTGTATTCTCCAAAAGTTCCATCATCTTCCTTCATAGGCTGGATCTCAGGATCGGCACGGGCATCTTCCTTTTCTTTAACTAAAAATTTCAAAATGGACATTATTAGCCATCGATAGATCCATCCTGTGCTTCCTTGTGCAAAGTTTATTCAAGAGTGCACTCTTTGAGATAGACAGCAGTGAGAAATAATTCTGTGTACAAATAGATGCTGTATAACCACATCTATTATATGGCCATGCATATGTTTTGATGATTTAGTTATTTTGAGGCAGCCTAATAGAATGAACATTGAAATGGACTTTAGTTTCTAATCCACCTAAGGAATAATTTTTAAGTTTCTAAGATTTAGCCCCTACTTTACTAATCTATTTATCAGCCATACTAATGGTTATAAACTATTTTTGTAAGTCTATTTTGTTTGCAGGTTTTTTTCTTGTAACTGAAGGGAAAATGGTCAGGTAAGGAAAATATAAATTCACTGGACCCACTAAATTAAGGAAACTATTAGCCTTATAGGGAAAGCAATATCCCTATACATATCCAATGTCAAGACTTAGTTCATACATTACTTCTGGAAAAGAAGAAGGTACTTCATGCACCTTCCTCCTACCCTCTCCTTGCCAATTGGTTTTAGGTGCTACTTCAACATCTATAACTTATGTGGAGCTTAAAGAAGCAGACTAATTTCTTCAGAGAACATATTAATTTACTCTTCCAAATGCCTTATCATCCTTGACAATGTTTAGGTTGCCATTATATAAAAAGGGATGAAAAATTGAACAGAAAATCCAAATTTATGTCTCTGGGGAGATATACTATTGCAATCTACATGATTACCTTCATGATTTCTTTTTAGCTTAATGGGTAATTATGCAGCATTATAAAGCAACTTTAATCTTTCTTTCTTACCTGGATATTTACCACCCTTGTTTCTTCTGATAAAGCAAACAATCAGCAAAATCAAGATAAGGAGAGCAACAGCACACATGAGACCAATGAACCAGCCCTGAGTCGCAATGTCCACCTGACGGCTTGCCATGGCTGGAAAACAAATCAATGGTGTTGGTGGCAATGGATTAAGGGGGAAATGGGAACTGCTGTAGTATCTTGTAGTAAAAATTGCCACATTATATGAGCTTTTACATCTTTTACATGTGGCCCCAAATTGGAATCTGTCAGTTATTAATCAGGAATTATATAAATACTTAGCTTTGAAAAATCTTCCTAAGTTAAAAAAATCGAAATAGAGAAATCAGAATACTTTAACATTAAATGCTAACAAATCCTGCTGAACATCATGTTTACAGTTATTTTTATGATATATTCGCGATAGAAACATATTCCCAAACCAATTAAAAAATTTAGTTTCTAGGATAAATTGTATATTAAGCATAATGATAAGAATATAAAACTGAATTTTAAACACAACAGAATGTATACATCTGATGAAGTATTTTTCCTTCAAAGGATCCACTTCTAGAGCCTAAAATGTCATTGCAAAGCTGCTGCCATTTTCAAAATGTTTTAGAAATCTGTTAAAAAAGAAAACGAGCCTTACAAGAAAAACAGCCTTATTATTTTATATAACATCCCCATTTGTACCCAAAATATGAGATTTTTCATCTCATTTACAAGAGTTAGTTCTGAATGGAAATTTCTGAAAATCCGAATCCACCTTCAAAGGATCAACATTTGTTATTACTGGGGGTCCATTCAAAAGACTCGGAAAGACATCTTGATCAGTAGAGTTGTTGTTAGATGAAGTGACCAGTTTGAAGAGAAAATACTCATTCATATGCATACGTATTCTTTCAGTTTTCATCTATTCTGTTTGAGTACATAAACGGGAAGCCCCTTATCCAACAAGTCATAATATGCAAAACCTAAACAGAATAATTGACATTTCTGGTCTTCCTTAAAAGTGTCAATCATATGGGACAAAGTGCAGCATCAATGGCTATTAAGACATGCCCATGCGGATTTGCTTAAATTGGTAGAAATAGTTTTTTAAAAGGCCTTTATTTTTTCTCTTTTGACCATAATCAAGGTAAAAGGTTTTCTTCTTTTGATTCCATAAGCATGCCTATATCACACTTTTAATTTGACAGAATTTCTTCTGAATGCATTTCACATGGTTGGGTTAGGCATGTGTGATCTCTGGATGCAGAAATAAGCATAGCTACACCTATCCCAGGTTCTTCTATATGTTGAAAAAACAGCATCTCATTGCCTCTTTTTCTCCACACAAAGTATAGGGAGAAAAAGGAAATGCTTAAAATCAAGTGTGAAGAGGAATGTAAAAATGTATGGAAGTGTGTGGAAAGAAATAAAACGAGATGTGGAGATACATTATCTAGACTACAAATCAAAGGCCAGTAGCCTTTCTCCAACAGACCCTTGTACCTCATTAGGTAAGGAGGTTTTGAGCTGTTATCATAAGCACATACAAGTGAAGCACCAGTAAAGGCAGTTCCCCTTTCCGTACACATACCACAGTCATCGTGATGGTGATGAAGATGAAGACAATGGTGATAACAATGACAGCTAACATTTTTTGACCTTACTATATGCTAAGCACTGTGCTGAGGGCATAATCTCATTTAAGCTTTACAACAATCCTTTGAGGTAGGCACTGGGAATAAACCCCAGCCCAGAGAGGGTGAAGAACTTCTCCAAAACTTGGAGTTTGACCTATGTCTGTCTGACTACTGGCCATTATGTCCACCTGCTATAATGCATTCCTGAAAACATGTCTAGACATCAAATCTCCAAAAGTCTGAACAAAGAATAAAATGCTATAGGGACTTTCCATTCTGAGATAGGTAAAAATGTTTGACAAGTCCATCACTACATACTCTTTGGCAATATATTTCTGTCAATGCACACATGGTCTTTGTATGCTTTTTCTTCAAAACGGATCCAAAAACCAAGTGGCTTAAGTCTCTTGAACATTTGGCTGAAGTTAAACAGTCTTTGTTTTTAGTATGCTTACTGATTTACAGCCTTGCCATAAATAGCTTTGGCATTTACATTTTTCATCTACTTAAGTGCAACTGATGAGAGAAAAATAAGATGCTCAGGTACCAGCACAGACATCGCCCCACGAAGGTGGTGACTGCCAAAACCGAGCTCCAGCTGGCAGCTTGCTGCTATGCAACCATGCAAAACCTGGTTCTGTTTCTTTGTCAGTCGATAAACAAACACCCACATTGACTTTAAATTCTTGCCTCTATGTCTAAAGAAAAAAAGTATCAAATACCTCACTGCCCTATTATTTAAGATTAGGCAGGCACTGTCTAGGAACAGGTGCATGTGAGCTTGTGCGTGTGTGTACATACACACTCAGACACGTGCAAGTGCACCAGAAGTGGATTAGAACAAATCGTGCAAGTGGAAATAGCAACTTGTATTAACTTTCAAACCATACAAGAAAAGATCTAAATCCCAGAATGACTACAAGAGGCTTTAAGCCTTCTCAGAATACTTTAAAATCATTTTAGTTAGAACATATACACTGAAGTCATAACTGTGATTGTGCATAATACACATAAACACATAGAGACACAGACACACAGAATGAAACCTAGGGAGCTTTTCCTTCTAGAATCCGAGTTCCAGTGGATGGGCATTTATTAGGAGAGTAAAAGAGGATTTTCACTTTATCTGAATTTTGTACAATAAAATTATATTCATGTATTACTTGAACAATCCATAAAATGATAAATTAAACCCACACATATAAAGGACATGAAAATAGAAAATAAAGCAGAGGAATAAATTTTTCTTTGTTTTCTAGTTAGTTTTAAAAACAGTCTTCTGTTCTGGCATGTGTGTTGTGTCATGGATGACCTGTGCTCTGTGGCAGGAGGTGTCTGAGGAGAATGCTGGGTGCTTGGCATCACGGAATAAACACAGAAGACATATGGTGAGAGAAATGGTTGTTCTATACCATTTATGAAGAATCCAATATGCATAAAAATGTCCTGCTCAGTTAAAATAGTTAGAAAAGCTTAGGAAGGGGAAAAAATGACCTTGGCCAAAGTGTGGAGACAGTTGACAAAAAAGCTGTTGAGCCCAGAAAAAACAAATCTGCTTTAGAGGAGAGGAGAGACTCAGTAACTGAGGGGCAGAAGTGAGAAAGGAAGGAGGAGCTGCATGGTGTTAAGGAGAGGTCATCCCTGGGGGCTCATACCAGGTGGGGTGGCATTAGTGAGAGGTCGTACCTGGTCACACCAGGTAAGGCGGTGTTAAGGAGAGGTCATACCAGGAGTATGGGGACAAGCACAGTATCAGGACATTGCTTATAGTCTTGATTTTTCAGTATGTACCATAGGAAAAAATTAAGAAATATACTTTAAAAATCCAGACCATAAAAGGCAGAGACAGTGTCATATTAGGAAGATGCATGAAACAAGTGTAAATGAAAGTTGAGTCTAGGTTCCTGAAATTAGTGGAACTCAGAAGAAGCTTACGAATGCAAGGTTGAAAAATTAGCCAAATAGTGTGTGTGCTTTCATGCGAAGTACTGTCATTCTTACGCCTCAGAAGCCAGCGTGGGGGGAGGAGCGAGAGCAGTAGAAGATCACACTTCCACACTGGAGTTAACCCGGCAGCCCCAAAGGAAGAAGCAAGGTGAACCAGGAGAAGGGGGTTGGACTAACAGTAAGTCAAGGCATTCTAGAATGCTGACAGCATTTGCTCTTAGAGGTAACATGTTAACTAAGGCCCCAAGGGTTCAATCAATATGTATTCTATTTAATAGTTACATTTATATGTAAAAATTGACCGTAACTGGTTGTCTGTCACTGGAACACAAGAATGCCTACCTACCATCTTGAGCTATCTGGCAGTTGCTGCTGGAACTGTAGGCAATTTACACCACTGAGTAAAAAACAATTTTCTAAAAGAGTTGTCTTTTGTCCTGCAAAAGGACAAAAAAATGCTACAACTTGATTTTGAGGGTGAATCTGACTCCCCTGCAAATCGGGGTCCAGAATCACTATTGAGATGTGCCAAGTGCCAACTGAAGTGGTGATTTCTGAGACAACCTGTTCCATCGGTGTGTGGACCCTGTGCAGTGGATGTAGTGAGGGATTCTCTTTCAGTGTCGGAAGGCTGAGCTTCTAATCCTCGCTCTACTGTGTTCTAGCTGGGTGACTTGGGGCAGGTACTCCACCTCTCTGAGTGTTGACATGAGGTGTAAGTGGGTAATAACAGTGCCTGCTTCATAGGATTGTTGTAAGGACTGAATGAGAAAACATTTGCCTGACACAGAGTAGAGCTGACTAAATGCTAGTACTATTATTCACATTCTAGCTGTATAGGAACAGAATTATCTACTTGAGCTCTTAGTATTTTGAAATTAAAACAGCAAAATCAATAACAGCAAACAAAAACCTTGTAAACTAACTGTGAATTAGATATTTCCCTTTTAAATTTAATAGAGTGGTTTGCTAGAACTATGTACGTAAATGGATATGAAATACAAGGAACAGAGTAATAGGAGAAATATTTTTTCTTAAAACATTATGATTTTCACAAATGAATATTTTAAAAATAGAGTTTAATAAGTTATTGAGTATCACCTTTGGTCTCTTTTGTTAAAACCAGATGTGATTATATATTTTCTAAATTATAAGAAATTTAAAATCATAATGCTTTCTTAATGAAAGATACAAAAAAAATACATTTGTCTACAGGTTCTCCAGGATATGCAACATTCCCTCAAGAATGCATGAAGTGACTGAACATAACATGGGTGCATGAACCACACTGTGAACACGTAACACAAACCCTTGTTTAAATTTAAGTAATCAGGGATTGTTTTCCATCTTGTGAGCAAATATGAATGTTCTTGCATTTTACATCAACATTTTTCTTTACTTTAGAAACTTTACTTTTTACTCGTGTATTTTGATAATGTTCACATAAATAAATATATGCAGGCAGTCAAATTTGTGTGATAAAAATGTAAATATGTGAATTGTACAATTTCTTGTTCCGTACACATTTAATAATATTCATACCAGTTGTCTAACCAAATTGCAGGGTTCTGCTGGGTTGTAGTCCATTTTGACATAAAGAATTGTGACTTTCTTATAACCGATTTCAACTCCAAAAGCATTTCAAAAATTTCAGTTTAACTCGGAGAAAGTTTATACATGTGATATGAAGAATTGAATTATCTAAATAAGTTAAAAATCATATTTAAGTCTGTTTTTGTAAAGGTTTTTTTCGGCAATAATGTGGTTAGAAGATGATTTGCTAGATCCTGTAATTTGTTTGATAGAAAGAGCCAAAGACAATTGAAAACCAAAACTCCTAACCCAACAGGGCCCCGTAGAAAGACATTCACGGCCCTACCCACCACATAGCTCCACCTGCCCCATGTCCCGCTGGAGCGCCTGGTGGCTTCCACCTCTTGCGGGAGCCAGCTCTGGCGCGGTGTGTGCCTCACCTGGGCCTGTCTCAAACACATCCTCTGAACTCACAAAACCAGAGTCCCCCTCAGCACCAACTCGAACTTTGTATGCTGTTCCTGGCATTAGACCCTTTAACCCAAAGAAGCTCCGAGAACCATTTACAATTTCTTTTCTCCATTCTTCTTTGCCTATGGAAATTTTGCAAAAACAACAAATTTGAATGTTTTAAGGGACCAGAAGTCACTTAATGCTTCAAGAAAGGAAAATGCTTTATAAGCTAATGACAAAATCTAGGATGCCCAGGTTTACCATATTAGATTGTTATAAATGTAGTCATGACAAATGGATCAATTAAAACAAAATATCTCCAAAGAAAAATTGACTGGATATCTGGACTGCGTGTTAATTGTATATATTTTCACTGTATTCTTCTTTTTAGTACAAAGGAAGCTTTATCTGCACCTTGCTTGGGAACTGTTGAGTTTCTCTAAAGCTGTTTACAAAAAGAACTGTGACACATTAAGTAGCTTAAGTTAACTATGGGAGGAATTGTTTTCTAAGATTCACAAGATGAATCTTTTGGTAAACTTAATTGCCTTCTAATTTAAACAATTTACAGATTCAACCTTTCCCAAGTATTGGTTTTTCTAAAGGGATAGTTATTTCTAAAAATATCTATTTGCATGATAAAAGCCTAAACATAATGTTGGACTCTGTTCAGCATTTTGTCACAAACATTTATTGGCCACCCAGCTTTTATAATGTAGCACATACTTCATTAAGGAGGGTGCACTGGTGTTTTATAAACTGTTGAAAATGAAAGCTGCCCCATCTCCCAGTAGGTGTGACCAGGAATTAAGGAGAGTGCCTGACTTGGGTATACAGGGGCTGTCTGGAAACTATCCAGACATTGTTAATATAACAAGAACAGTTACATGGCTGGATACTTTCTGGACACCCCTCACATAGCAAACATTGAAACATGATGGATATGCCCCTAAAGTGTTAATTTTCCACAATTTCTTATACAATTTTCTTGGGTTAGTTTAGGCAAAATTAATACTTTCAAGTCAGTTTGATTTTTGCTACTTCAAGATCTGATTTAAAAAAAACTTTTCTTTTTTCCTACTTGTATTTACAAATATAATAATTCATTGTTACTCTTGTTTACATATCATGGGCATAGAAACAGTTTTATGCATCATGATATGAAAATGACATATGTAATGGAACTTATGCTCCTTGTTATTAATAATGCCAAAAAGGGATTCTTAGTTATATATCAAATATGTAATAGGCTGATGGTTCACTATAATTTTTTAGAAAACGCATTCAACTGGATCAAGTTATTTTGCGAGGTGATCCATAAATGTTCCTTATGCTGTACCCCCATAATATGCCGAAATAAAAAAGAAAAAAAATGTTCCTTATGATCCTTAAAAATGTTCAGAATCTCTTGAAATGTATCCCCCAAATTAAAAATCCGGTAATGAAATTGTTTCTTACTGCCTGCTACACCATATTCAACATAAAAGTTCACATGCTCTGGTCCCTCATACTCCCAACTGATATTGGCATAGGTCTCCGCAGCTGCGGCAGTAAGATTGCTGATCCTGGGACTTACTGCTTGAACTAAACATACAATAGAAAAATAAAACAAACAAACAATCATATTGCAGCACCATACACACAAACATAAAATAGGTTTAAATACTCTGAAATTGTGCAAATAAAATTAGAACTTACTGTTAAAATTTAGAGTTCATTCATGCTTTCATTACAGAAAGGTTTCTCATTTATTAAATTATAGCATTAGGAAATAAATTAATAATCAGAAATAATGATGTATATTAAAATTTATGAGTTCTATTACAGGGTAATAGAATAGGGGTTCAGAATAGGGGTTCTGAACAGTGTAAACTGTTATCCCAGGAAACATCACAGTCTTCATTTACTGATGTATTAATATGATGGAGAGGGGATTGGTGAATAATCCCAGGGGCAAAAGTTATCATGGAATACCAGAGACTTCAAGGCGAAACCCAGTACTATGTGGCTACTTTTCAATTCTATTTGCCATCTCAGTGCAAGTCTTTAAAGAATTGGTGTTGGGATGAGAAACAATGCTCCTTAGAATAGTGGCCTTTGATCTGTTTTGAGTCATAGACTTCATTGAAAATCTGACTCCAGGGAGCTCAGGGACCCCAGGTGATGAACCCCTACTTTGGAGAATGTTGGATGGTTAGAGTATACTGGAAGAGAAGCTGCAAAAGGAATTGCCAGATATGCTACATTAGAAGTTAAGAAAGAAGAAATAAAAGGAGTAAGAACTATTTCATTTAACATACCCCAGAGAGCAAGACAATCTTACCTGTTAAGGGTTTGCTATATAGTATTTTCTGAAAAATCATACTGCAACCTAAATAGCGTCTTAAAAATCTAAATTGTGGATACTAGATGATGCTATATGATTGCTACTAAGTAAAGACAACATCTAAAGTCATTAAAAATGTTATTTGAATATTTGAGGCTAACAATTCTATCAGCTTTACCTCAATGCCTTAAACTAAAAATAACATATTTAGAGATATATTAACTTTGGTAGTTAAAACAATAAAGTCAGTTTATTATCCCAGAGAAAATGTACTAGGATGGTAAATCAGAAAGCATCAATGGGTTTAGTCAGACTATAAAATTAAATTCTAAAATAAGTTATATAATTTAGAAGCTAAACACTTCTGCTGGAATAAATGTAATGAAATAGCATTTCTTAGGATCAAAAAAAGAGAGAACTGTATTAAAGAAGTTAAATAATGCTCTTGACCTCTGAAATATAATTCAACAACACCATGTATATTTTGTGTCGTTGTGTGTTAAGCAGAAGGAAATGGTAGAGAGCAAAACTGATTATTGAATTATGCAGAGTCTTTCTGTGAACCTAATTAATTTTAGTTTTCTGAGATTTTTTTCTTAAGGAATAATTATAGGAATATAATCAGTCAACAGAGACAGTAAATATGCGCACGTGTGTATAAAACATCAGGGGCAAAGAACTGAGGCAAAACATTAATTTTCTTTAAAAATTTTGGAATCATGGAACTAAGAAATTTAGTCTCGGAGTAATTATGGAAGATGTTCAAGGCAGAACTATAACAAAATACTTCTAACAGAAGAGCATTTAGCTGCTGCTGCTTTTTTTTTTTTTTTTCAGTGTTTTCTATGGATGCTCCCTTCTTTTCCTTGAGTTTCTTCTCTAAACGGTTTATGCTTTTTTAAATTTTTGTCTCCAGCTTTATTGAAATCAGTATCTTTAAGAGGTATCTGTTCTCCCATGTTCATTGCAGTATTATTCACCATAGCCAAGATACGGTTCCTCTCTTTTCCACTCACGCTCTACATTTCAGCCACACTGGAGTGCTGGGTAAAACCCAACCATCCTGTGTGTTTTCAAACCCATTGTCTTTGCTTATGCTCTGACTCATTCTAACCTCAGCCACCCCAAACCCCTGACTCATCTGCCGAAAAAAATGGGCTTCAAGGCCCAGTTCAATATTTTTTGGATCCTGTTTTGCAAAATAAACGGTTCACTCCCCTATGCTCAGATAACATTCTGTTGAAACTACTATTTATTATAATAGTTCAAATTACTATTTATATTCTGTTCAATCTATTTATTATTCTTTTTATGTGTTGGTCTTATCCACCGGATTTTAAGCATGTCAAAGGCAAGATCTGTGTTACTATCTTGATATACAGTGTCTTAAAAAGCTGGTACATTTCCCGTGCCGGATAGACATTAGCTGTTGAACTGATTGAATCTTCTATGCTTCTGGGTAGCCTTGTTTTGTTTTGGTTTTGTTCAGGCCAAATAAAGGTATGAACTTTAAACTTTTTTATTTACTGGTTTTTTACGCTAGAAAAATATTAATAATATAGTGAGAGGTAATAATATAGACAGATCACAGAAAGGATTCATCACTAGCTGGTCTTCAATGTCCTTCTCATTCCTAACTGAGGAATGGCCACAATAGGCTGCTAATTAGGTCAAGAATGCACATTCAGTTCCTGCCTTGCCAATTAGTTTCTCCCTATTCCTGTACCCTAATTAGACACCCCCAAACAGTGTTCTGATTGTTGGTCCTAAGGATGCAATAGCAAAATGCTATGGACAAGTGTCAAACCATCAATACTGGGAACATAAATCCCTTATCTGCATGTTCTTGGTTCATTTTTACAGATGCTTTCACAGGTCTACCTCCTAGAATCCCAGAGCCTGAAACCATTTTAAGATATAGAAATTGAACAAATACAGCCAAACAACTATAATTCTTTCTTCTTCTTCTTCTTTTTTTTTTTGAGACAGGGTCTTGCTCTGCTGTGCCTGGTAGAGCGCAGTGGCATCTTCATAACTCATGGAAATCTCAAACTCTTGGGCTCAAGCAATCCTCCTGCGTCAGCTTCCCACGTAGCTGGCACTATAGGCACACACCATGATGCTCAGCTAATTTTTCTATTTTTTAGTAGAGATGGGGTCTTGGCTGTTGCTCTGGCTGGTCTTGAAATCCTAATCCCAAGCCATCCTCCCACCTTGGACTCCCAGAGTACTATGATTACAGGCATGAGCCACTGTGCCCAGCCTAACAACTATAATTCTTATACAAACATTGAGAGCTCTAACAAAACAAAGAAATGGATCAAAATATATGACTTGAAGATCCTGAGTATGTCCACACTTGATTTAATTATATTGAGGAGAATGGTAAGAAGAAAGGTTAGTATGGCATCATATAGTTAATTAAATTATCCTGGCTTCTCCTTCATGGTTTATAATTTTTCCATAATTATATATTTGAAAACTTGGGTTTCATTAGCATCTCTTAAAATCTGTATGAAAATTAAGAAATATAAACTCATATGTATTTCTTTCCCCTTCTTGGACCAGAAGTGAATTAAAATCACTTTTCATGAAATCATAATTCATAATAAAATCAGATGTTGACGCTTCTATAGCTAAGGATATTACATGTGTTTTCTCTTGATTCATCTTTAATTTATTCCCTTTTATACTGTTTTAAGTTACAATATAAAAGATATATTTAAATTTTAAAATTTGAAAGGATTTTGGAGAACTTTAATTTTTCTCCTGCCAGAGAGCATCTAAACTCTGCTGCATGGAGAAAGGAGGTAGAGAAGAGAATTCATTCTTAGGCTGAAAAAAAAAAGAAATATTTTTAAGGAAGAAAAACCCAGGATCACAAATTATGCATGAGCAGTTTAAAGTCTTGCTATGGTAAAATATTATCATTTTATGCAAGCAATATTTAATTACTGCTGCACTATGAAATGAACCAATATTTTAAAAAGGTCAGATTTAGCTTTTTTTCTTAAACACTATTTCTTTCCTTATCTGAGATCTGTCAGATTTTAATATTAGGGGCTTAATGAACTTTCAGACACTCCATTTTTGCTTGTCTCTATAAGTAATTCACAATTCAATTTAGTAATATCAAATGGTAAAACCAAAACTCTTTCAATAAAGATTTCTTTTAATTTATTAAAAATAGGGGGTGATGTTTTTTCCAGTGGAATGCATATCCTCTTCTAACGTAACAAGTCAATGACTACTCAGACTTGCTTCACAGGTAGCCCTGGTGAAGCATAATTTCTCTGCTACCAACTCTAGGCACAGTCACAGTGACATGTCCATTGTGTAGGAAAAGAGGCTGGGCTTTTACTGGAATGCTTCAATTAAAGTCACACAGCAGTAAACTGTTGTAAAACAACCAATGATTTTAATTAATATCTAATTCTCACAGAAAAGATGTATACATATTAAATAAAGTAAATAACCTTTCTGTAATATTGTAGAAAGTAGAAAGTATTGTAGAAAGAAAGTAATCTTTCTACAATATTATAGAAATTTTGAATTTTTACAACTTTGTCCTTTTGAGTCTAAAAGCACAAATAAAACATTATCAAGATGACTGAAAATGGCCACGGTTCTTATCTAGTCACTCCAAAATCTATCTGATCTACTTTTAATAATTTACCAAGACTGCGAATGTAAGCAAATTTCTAAGCAAATAGAAAAAATGTATCAAGCCTAAGCTCACAAGAGTTGAATAATTTAGGGCAAAGCACTTATTTCTCTTGGTCTTCCTTTTCTTCATTCCTATTTGTACTCATTTGGTTTGTGAAAGCCCAGGAAAACCCCTGATCATGGGCACACTATGTGAAAACAGTGCCCAGTGGCGAGGATGCCACTGCTCTCTAGAAAGCTGACTGGTCAACCAACAGCCAAGGGTCAAAGTTTCGGGCATCTATGGCATTGCTCAGGGGGTGAAGACAGGATGGAATAACACCACTGAGCAGAGCATGGAAGACTTGCTTGTAGGGAGTCCCAGTGGGAAGACTTAGTCGCAAACCAGCTGGAGGGTATTGCTCAGCCCAAATCCCAAATGGACAGTGTTTTGTGATGTCAACAGAACGTACAGCGTGTCTATGAGGAGTGCAGCTACATCAGATTAGAACAGGAAGCTCAGCTGATCTGACTTCTCACAGGCTGCTTTTATCACAGGGCTAATATTTCTGAACCCTTAAATGTGTGGTGTGGCCATATAGAGGATCTGTGACAAATCCACAGTTTTGGTTCTGTCTGATCCAGCCAAAATCATATTATTAAAAGCTAAGATTAGGATTTGTACCAAGGATAAGTCTTGAAAAAATTTTGGGGAGAATTCAATATGTGGCCTTTTACTTGTAAAAAAGGACTAGAAATTAAATGTAAAGCCAAGATTGGCCCAAATCTTCTCCTCCTTTTTGTGGTTCAAAGCATATTTTATTTTCTCTTTTTCACCCATGCTGCACTTCCCCACATTTCACATTGCAAATATCACACATGTATAAAGTCATGCAGATGAATTATTTTACCTTTGCCTGCACCTACATCAGGTGGAAGAATACCAGCTTTAATGAAGGGAAACAGAAATAGGACACTATATAGTTAGATGTCACACAGCCATGAGCATGTATAGAGATACAAAAACACTTATTAAAATGCTAAAGCATGCAAGAAGAATGAAGCCACATCAGGTACAGGGCACAAAGATATGTTGGTGTCCCCAAATATACCCAGTATTCAAATCCACACATAAGCTGCATTATTCATGCTTATCTATTATCGAAGAAGGCTTAGGATATTTCAAACCATTTTTGGATAGAAATGTCAATTTCTATTGCTATGGAATATAATCAAATGAATAATTCTTAGCAATTCTACAGTTTAGAGACATGCAAAACCAGAATATTTTTTTCAATATTTTTGACCATTTTCATTGAATCTAAAATTTTCAGAGTTTTTTAAAAGTATGAAAAGAAGTGTTCATTCCTATTCTAAATACTTTAGTGGGGCTATTTTGCTTTTTCTGTACCAGATGATATACCAAAACACAAAATCCCTTGCCCAAACACAAAATAAATGCATTATTTAATAATTGTTTCAATTTCCTTGCTAGAAAACCTAAAGCAGTATGTGATCTAGAAAATTATTTCCAGTGAATCAGGACCAGAACTACAATTACATATACTTATGTATAAGTGTGTGTGTGTGTGTGTGTAAAAGTTGTAGATAGGAAAATATATTACCTTGAATTTCAAGTGTGGCAAATATTGTAATTTCTCACTCTCATTCTAATATTTTCATATAAGTATAAAAGTTTTACATGGTCTTAAAAACAGATATCAAATAGTTATTTCAGTATAAGCTAAATAACTGATTTTATAATATATCAGAAAGAGAAATTACAAATAAATGTTTGTATGAATTGGGTAGGATGGCTACTCCATGGTAAGAAGGAAACAGAAAGCTTAAACTTGAGTTAAACATTTTTATTCCAGGATACTTATAATTATATGGATTTTATACATACCCATCTTACCTTCATCCACAGTTGTTACTGCTTCCTCTGTAATTTGACTTCCTGATCCTGCTGATGTTTGTGCATAGAAATAAAACTTATACCGAGTGCTGAAATTTAAATTTTTTAAAGTCCAGCGTGTCTTGTTGGCAGGAATTTTTAAATCTACCAGAGGTCCTAATTCATGTGTACTGTTAACTGTCAATAAGAAATAATAAACAAGTGCATTCCCCATTAATTGCTATGCTATTATAAAATAAATATGTTAACCCAAAATGTCAAACCTGGCTTACATTGGCTTTTATAATCCTACTCATGCTTTGCCTGACATACTAAGTGATAACATTTTACAGCTCCTATAATGTTTATCATATCTTTTTTTTTTTTTTTTGAGACAGAGTCTCGCTTTGTTGCCCAGGCTAGAGTGAGTGCCGTGGCATCAGCCTAGCTCACAGCAACCTCAAACTCCTGGGCTCAAGCAATCCTTCTGCCTCAGCCTCCCAAGTGGCTGGGACTACAGGCATGCCCGGCTAATTTTTTCTATATATACTAGTTGGCCAATTAATTTCTTTCTATTTATAGTAGAGACGGGGTCTCGCTCTTGCTCAGGCTGGTTTCAAACTCCTGACCTGGAGCAATCCACCCGCCTTGGCCTCCCAGAGTGCTAGGATTACAGGCGTGAGCCACCGCGCCCGGCCTGTTTATCATATCATTTAACAAGGGGGAATATATTCTTCATAAGCCTATAAACTAGGAGAATTTTATGCTTGAAGCACAATAGCATTTAAAAAAAAATCTCTGTTTTTGCAGGTGGAATTGTGTATTGTTAAATAACCTCAAACATTTTCTTGAGAGGCCTGTGCCCTTACAGATAGTGCCAATCTAATCTAATGATAGCACCCACCTACAACTCACCCCTAAAAGTCTATATTATTCTAGAGATTACTTAATTTTCAATAGAAGATAAATCATTTTTCTTTAAAAAGTCTTGAAGTTCTTTCTAAAAGAACACAGGAAAGTATATGTATATATTCTATAGATATAAAGACATAATAGCTTGTATTTTATGATAATATTTAAATATTTTTTAAACCATATTTCCCCTGCCCCCTTCCCAATAACTTACTTGGTTGATATTTTAGGGTGTACTCAGTCAAAATGCCATTCGGGTGGCTCGGTGGATCCCATTCCAAAGTGAGGGAGTCCAGCGTAGGATTAACAATCTTCAGAGATGAAGGAGCACTGGGAACTTACAATGAGAACATACAGTCAACACAAAGGTTTCTGAATGTTTCAAAATGTATTAAAATGACATTTCATGAGGCTCATACAATTCATCAAGGTTTGAGTTTTCAGAAACTCATTCCTAACTCAGCTGAAAATACATTAATATGAACCTATGACAGGTACCTGTTTATTCTCTTCCTCTTTTTCTCTTATCATTTCCATTTAGATTCATTAAAACCATCCTCTCAAAATACATTTTACTTTGTATTTATATAGATCCCAAATAAATATTTTTGAAGGACACAGTACTTATCTGATTCATGAATATTGTCTTTTTTTTTTTTTTTTTTTGAGATAGAGTCTCACTCTGTTGCCCGAGCTAGAGTGAGTGCTGTGGCGTCAGCCTAGCTCACAGCAACCTCAAACTCCTGGGCTCAAGCAATCCTTCTGCCTCAGCCCCCCGAGTAGCTGGGACTACAAGCATGCGCCACCATGCCTGGCTAATTTTTTCTATATATTTTTAGTTGTCCAGCTAATTTCTTTCTATTTTAGTAGAGACGGGAGTCTTGCTCTTTCTCAGGCTGGTCTGAACTCCTGAGCTCAAACAATCCTCCCACCTTAGCCTCCCAGAGTGCTCGGATTATAGGCGTGAGCCACTGCACCTGGCCCATGAATGCTGTCTTAATAAAAGCTAACTAGTTACCAAATGAAACTATTCTAACCAGATCTTTTAAGTGGAAGCAGCTGTGTTCTGGGCCATTCAGGACTGTTTTCCCCAACAAACCAGGTGCCTCCAAATAGTATGTCCTAGCCTGCAGGGCTTTGGGCATGAGCCAGATTGCCCAGGTGTGGACATGTTCTTATCCTGAGCACAGACAGCTGCCCAGGATTTGGAGGTGATGCACAAAAAAGCCCCAGTATTGGCACATCCCTGGGCAAGGCCTGAGGGGTGTCAAGTTCTCTATGGCAGAGGCTGGCAAAGTACCAGAGAAAACATGCCTGGTCTTCTTTTATTCACTTCCTTATGAGGATGATGGCTGGGGGCAGTTCTCCCTCACAATCAGTCCCTCCCCTACCATATTCCCTGAAAACCCATTGTTGGCACTGTCAGGCTAGCTGAAAACCAGAGTCAGCCTGCACGTCTCCATCAGCCTCATTTCCACCCTCTCCTGAGACACAAAATTTTTATTTTATTTTATTTCTGGGACTTGAAATCCTACTGATTCTACCTCCTTAATCTCAGCCATATCCACCTCCCCTCTCCCCATTTTCTTTGCTACCTCTACACTTCAGGCCCTCAACAGCTTTTGCCTGGGCCTAGAACTGTGCCTGGTACATAGTTCTCAGCTTCCTCAACCCAATAAGTGGTTCTTAACTTTTAGAGATTATAGACCCCTTTGAGAATCTGATGACAGCCATAAACTCTCCCTAGAAAAATGTTTACACATTTTGCATACAATTTTAGAAGGTTCATGGAGCTTCTTAAACCCATTCGCTGACCCCCTAAGGGATTACAGATTAATATCCATAGCATCCAAGACCACTCATGATCTGGGCCCTCCCTAGCTGACCTTACTTGCCATTTCTGGCCACACAACTTGACATTTCCTGAAGGAGCCATGCTGTTTCATACCTTTGTGTCTTCAGACATACCACTTCCTCTCTCTTTATCCTACAATCCTCTGATCATCTCTTCTGTGACACCTTCTCCTGAGCCATCTAAAGGACCAGTGTGGGCCTCCCTCATGACAGGCCCCGACTCTCTCAGGGGCAGTGAGACCAAGGACAAGTGATTGTAATGGGATGGGAGTTGGGACACAGGATGACTGTCATCCCATTTAGTTCTCAGGCTTTTCATATGAGGGTACTGAGGCTTAGAGAACTTACAGAACTTGCCTCAAGTCAGAAAGTTAATGACCAAAATAAACATCAAATTAGCAACAGTTCAGACAGTATACATGTGCAGAAAAATTTTAAGTCAAGGGAGAGGGTGTTTTAGGGCAGCATTTTGTGTTCTGAAGCCTTGTATATATTCTTAGGCTACATAAAAGCTGACATTTTGCCAGCTTTGTGTGTGCTGTGTTCATCTCTGGACAAAGCCCATTTAGCTTCCAGAATATACTTTATTTAGAGGGCCTTCTGTCATGCAACAGCCCTCGGGCCATGTCGCATGTCCCTGAGATCTCAGATACACGTCCATCCCATACCTCCTTCTGGAGTATTAAAGACTTGGTCAGAGCTGGCTGGGCCCTCCCCCTTCCCATTGACCACTCGGACATTCAGCGTGTAGTGGCTAAAGGGCTCCAGCCCAGGCAACATGCCGTGAGTCTTGCTGCCTTGGAAGGTAAGGATCTTTTTCTCAATGTGACGTCTCTTTCTTTTAGATGAATTTTGTGCCTTCCAGTAGTAAATCTGAAACAGCAAGAACAAAAGTCAGGGTTGCACAAAGGAACAAACATGATTCCCCTTGTACTCACAAAATTATTGTTTTTTCAGAAAATTCCCTTGGTACATTTTAGAAGAACATTACTAGCAAGACCAATGGATATTGATTCTGAAGCAAGAGGAATAGAAATCCATGGATATTGAGGGAAATTAATTTAAGACCATGTGACAAAGTTGGGCTATACTATTTTGTTGTAGGAGTATAAGAGAAACAAACAAAACACCATGAGACCCAGATGGGTCTCTCTGGAACACGAGGCAAATGGATGACAATAGGATTTAAGTCTTTTGCTTGTATAAAATATTCTAAAAATAAAAATTTCTGCCCAGTGTTTTCCAGAATTAATACAAGTTCATGTATAATCTATCATTTAGTTTAATCCTAAAAACAATAGTGAGGCTTATATTATTATTATTACTATTGATGAGTCTCTGGGCTACTGAGTATTTTTCCCAAAGCCACAGAGGTATCAAGAGCCACAGAAGGCCCTCCACTCCAAGTCTAGGGCTTTCCACTAAGCCAAACTGTATCATTAAAAATATTTATTTGTTTTATATCATAGGCACAAGTTTTGAAGAAATGGAAAAGAAGTGTTGATTAACTTTGGTCACAAATCCACAATTGTTGTTTATTAAGTTGTCTTAAGTTCTTAGGAATTTAAAGACATTTTCAAGAGAAGTCAACATTATATACAGAATCTTGCAATGTTAGGGAAAAATAATTGAACATGATGCAGTACATAAAGTGACCTCTAGGAGTCAGGGTTAACAAATCAAAGTAGTGACACTGCATGCACCTGTGTTTGTAAATCACAATAACAATCAAAAATCTCAATGAGTTGGTCTTTCTGTGCTTCCCAAAAGCTGAGATAACTGATGCTTGTAAGAATGACCCAGTTGGGACTATAAGGTCTTAAAGTATAATCTACATTATTAACAATATGCCTAAATTATTATCAGGATAATTTTGTGTTTTCAAGGCATGTAATGCATATTACTTTAAAGCTAGGTGCAGTTGGCTATATTCTAGTTCTTTAAGAATTATTTTTCCCCATTTTGTACAAATATTAATTATTTGTTATTGGCAGAATGTTTGATCATCTGTGGGAAAAAAAGGAGAAAACATTTTTTCCCTCTCTTTGGGTATAGAGAGATTTCAAGTCAACTCTGGCCAGGGTCCTTTAGATGTGGCCCTGCCTGAGGCAATAAATCAAATTCAAGTTCATGAGTTCTTGAGGGGATGAACCAAGTAACTCCAATCTTATGCAGTGTGCACGACACGGAACATTCACTGCAATTCACTGATTGCCTGTTACAAAGGGAAGAACAGGAAAGGCTCCCTTTTACTTGCCCGATAGCCTTGCAGGTGTCCTCGGATACTTTTCAGAGGTACCGGGTCCCAGTGCACCTCGGCTAAGGTGCTGTTCACCACAGTCACTCGCACATTCCCAGGAGCCACCATTGGCACTGAAGGAAGGACCGAGAAGGAGCACACATGTCAATTTTCAATTTCATGCATAAATGTCACTATCTCTAACAATTTCGGCTTGAAGCATACTCCAGTCCTATTCTATGGATTATTAAGGATTGAAAGATTTTTTTGATATCTGTTTATTTGACTTTGTGAGAACAAGATTTTTGTCTATTTGTTTGTGTGTGTGTGTTTTTATAGATGGGATCTTGCTATGTTGCCAAGGCTAGACTCAAGCTCCTGGGCTCAAAGGATTCTCCAGCATCCTGAGTAGGAGAATAGGACTTTTTAAATAAAAAAAAAAAGTACAGTTGACCCTTGAATAAAATAGGTTTAAACTGTGTGGGTCCACTTATATGGAAATTCTTTTTCCAATACAGTTGCCTGGTTATATCCACAGGTTTCTACATCTGCAACCAAATGCAGGTGGAAAACACAGTCTTCTTGGGGGCAAAACCCACAGATACAAAGGACCAACCTTTTACATAGGCAGTTTCCACAGAGCCAACTTTGGGACTTGAGTATTTGCAGATTTGGGTCTCTGGGGTAGGAGGTGTCCTAGAACCAATCCCTGGGGGATACTGAGGGACGACCGTACTGTGATCGCCTTCAACATTCTGAAATTTTCTTTCTGACATACCAGGATGTTTAAATTCAGCGAAGTTACATAAAAATAATTGCTGCCTCCCTCCCTTGCAGCCCAAGCATCTCTGGAAATGGCCTTGGCTTGTGCCTTGGTAAGTCTGTTTTGCTGGAGAAAAGCAGAAAGGAAACAGCATCAGACACTTACGGTCTTCTCCAGAATGTCCCATGACGACAGCTGGCTCAGGGGCAAACCCCACGTCATTTAGGGCCTGGACTTTGATCAGGTACGGGACAAAGGTTGGCGTGCCTGAGACAATGTACTTGGACACGTTCGCCACAACCACAGATGTCCACTCGTCGTCACCATCTTTCTGACGCCAGCTTACTTTGTACTGAAGGCCTGGCCCGTTAGATTCAAAGCCATTCAAGGGCTACGGGAAAAGCCAAATAAAAGCTTATCAAACAGATCGACTGCACAACCTTGTACGGGAACAACAAATTCAATTCCCAGACCTGAAAAGAAAGTGAACACTGAAACACTAAAACACAAGCTATTAACCATGTTCTCTAGGGATCTTTTATCTATTTTTCATTTGTGATGAGATTCAAAGCTTGTTTGCGATCAACATTTCAAAGGTTGTAAATTACTGTCTTGAAGAAGTAAACATCACATAAACCTTTCAAACTCTGGCTCCATAGCCAAGGGTGGGTACTTCTAAAGGTATATCAGTGAATATAGATTCCTTCACATATTCTTGTTTATGTGAGGGTACATCCTTGTTCATTTTCCTTGGAGACTGAAACTTATGAACTGTCTTCCTCTTTGTTAAAAAACAAAGGGTAGGCTGGCCTGTCATTCTATCCTGTTTTTACATGTATGTATATATAAACATGTACACATATGTATACATATACATGTTTACATTTATCTAAGTTTTAAAATTATACAAGTAAATATGTGTTAAATTCTCAAATGCAGAAAACACCCTGACCCCAAAAGCAGTTGATTACTGGAATAGCTCGATGCATGTCTTCCAGGTGGTTCTTGATGATGCTAATATTAGCTAGCATTTTTTGAGCACATATATATGCTAGGCACTGTTCTATGTTCTTTAAATGTGTTAACTCCTTTAATCCTGTGAAAGTGGTTCTATGATTATTCTCATCATGCAGATGCCTAACAGATGTGGGACAACTGACTTAAGGTCACACAGTAATGGCAGAGCTGGGATTTGCACCCATTCATTTTGGCTCCAGAGACCAAGCTTTTAACTACTACACAATACTGCCTCTTAAAATAAAGATATATAATATATATGGTTTCCTCCCCAGAAATGGACGAAATGGGATTTTAATGCAGATATTATTTTAAAACAACTCTTTTTTTTTTCACTCTAAAGAATACCGAGGAAAGTTGAGGGCTTCGTAGCTCACCTTCCACGTAATCACCAAATTATCAGGCTCTGATCCTAGTCCTTCCACAGCCGTGGGGTTTTTATCTGGTTCTAGAAGTTAAGCAGCCACACATGTGTAAGCTTTGGTCTTTTTGCAAAGGGTGGAAAACTTTTCTATTCCATTTCGTATCACGGAAGTCCCGCTTTACCTGCGGCTTTCGTCAAATACTGCTCAGACGCCTCGCTGGGCGAGCTCCTCCCGATGCTGTTCTCGGCCATCACTCGGAAGGAGTAGTTCACGTAAGGAGACAGCTTCAGCTGGGCCGTGGTCTGCGTTCCAGAAACCTCAGTGTGGTGGTGCCACAGCCCTGCCTCATGCATCGTATCTTCATATTCAATGATGAACTCTGGACACAACATAACACACACCCCAAACCCAAGACAGAGAATTCAGTCAACCCAGGGGTGGGTTGCCAGTGATAACTAACAGGGCAATCTAACAAGAGTAGCCAAGCATGGATTATTCAACTTTCAAGAAAAATACCATTAAAATATTTTGATTTCAGACTTCTATCCTTATCCTTAATACTTAAGCACACTCAATAATATTTGGTATTCCTTCTCTAGCATGCTGAGTTCAGTTACTTCAAATTGTTTAGAATCAATCCATATGTCACTAAAAAAAGTTTATATAAATGAAAAGATGGTCAGTTTTTTTCATAATAGGAGAAATTAAATATAGTGAGATGCCATTTTCCCCTAAACAGGTTGGCAACAATCAAAGGTTTAACACACTTTGTTGACTATGACACACGGAAACAAGCATTCTCTGATGTGTAAATTGGTATAACTTCTCTATAGGACAATTTAAAAAAATCTAACAATATTTAATGCACATAAACTTTGAGAAATTATACTTCTAGCCATTTATTTTGAATAAATGTGGTCACACATGTCTCAAAGACATGGAAAAGAATGCACATTGCAGTGTTGTTTGCAAATTCAAACAACCTAGTTGCAAACAACCTAAACATCCATCAATATAGAACACTGATTAAACAAATTATGGTACATCCACACAATGGAACACTCTGCAGCTGACAAAATTGAATGGGGATGCTGAAGTGAAATGATTCCTAAAATGCATTGTTAAGTGAAACCAAGCAGGTTATATAGAAGAGTGTGTACTAGATACTACAACTTACGTAAAAAAAAAAAAATTACTATGATAACTACGCATACATATTCACCTAGATATTCATGTTTTACTTCTCATAGGATACACACTGATAACACTGGTGTGGCCAGAGGAGCTGGGAGTCAGCACTGGGAGGAAGGTATGCTTTTCAGTGCATACTCTCTACATCTACTAAAATTTGGTGGTATGTACATGTTTTACCCTTATTAAAAAAAATAGGTATTTGGATACTCATTGATTGCCTACTATATGCCAGGTACCATGATATGAACTATAAATACAAAGATGAACTAGAAGTATTACATGTTTTGCAGTGGTCCAAAGCTAAGTCCTTGGAGTTCTTTCAGTCTACATTCACTTGCAGGTGATCTCTAGTCTCATAAATGGATGACTTTCACATATATATCTGCAGCCCAGAAATCTCCCCCGAACTACAGAATTAGCCAATTGCCTACTCAACAATTCTGCTCAATTGTCTAATACAACATCTCAAACCGGATATGACCAAAGCTGCTTCCCATCTTCTTCCCCAACTGGTAGTGACAACTCAGGTCAAAGCCTGGGGTCCTTCTGGGCTTCTCCTTCTTTCTCACTCTCAGTAGACCTCTTGCCTCTACTATTAAAATAGATCCAAAATCTGACCATTTCTCAGCCTGTTCCAGGCCACTGTCATCTCTTGCGTGAATTATGATACCACATAACCTCCTAACTCAGTAGTTTCCAAATGTTCCCAACTCATAGTGTACTTAATGTCTTAGTAATTTTTTTCATAATTCCCTTAGGCCAAATGAAATACCTAACATTTTCGTGTATTAAGTAGTCAGGTCCATACAACCTAATAAGTGTTTATATCTTGACAATTTAACACCTACAGGGCACTGTACAACTTTTTAAACCTTGTAAAAAAATTGGACACCACCTTCCTCATGTCCTGTTCCACACTGACTCTCACATGGTACTTGCTCTTTATCACAGCAAATGCTTTGCAGAGATCTGACATCATCAAAATATGATGGGACTCAATAAATATCTGTTGAATGAGTGAGCAAATGCAAAAGTAGAAATGCCTGGAAATCTAATGGTATCATTTTCACATAGGTATAAAGAGTCTCCACGCCTCCTAACCAGCTAACTCTGGCTAATGTACTGAATTAGTTGGAACATTCAGCCCAGAGGAATGTGAGTTCTGATAGAGAACACTGAAAACTCAATTAGAAAGAAGCACTTTTAATTAACACAAGGTACAGAGGAAGCTTCTGTTTAATTTATTGGATATATTCTGCTTTACCAGGAGGTACAGTAAATCAAGATACCTGTCATTTCAGAATCATCTCAGGTATAGTCATTAGAAAGGAATTTAGTCTTCCTGAAGTATATACCTTGAAGGTAATGATGTATCTCAGGCTCGTGACCTGATTATGTCTGCCTTTTAAGTATCTCTTCAGTTTAACAATCAAACTTCTAAGCTTACCTATATTCTAATTTATTAAGCTATTCTAGTATCCTTAGGGCATGGTCCCTCATCTGATTTTTTCCCTAGGCTTATGTCACCAAGGTGAGGAGTTGACACTGTTGAAGGCACTTTGTAGCAGGGGCTAGTGGGAAGAAAGAGTTAATGGACTTGATGGTACATCCAGTTCTGTTATCAACTGTGGGTTTGAAAAGTCACTTTACTCACCATGTCTCAATTTCCTAATATATATACAAGGTCTTTCAGCATCTGTGCCTCCTAACCCTCTTCTACTAGAAGTAATGGGCAAAATGAGTAACTAACTTTAGATGCATCTTCCTACTCCGGTAGATATTTAAGGTGAGTCTTATGGATTCTAAATACAAACAATGTATATTTTCTTAATTAACATCTTCAGCTATTAATTTGTGTCCTATACCAGAATCTATAACCAGGAATAACTCTAGCTCTGATGATGACCATAAATAAGTCTTTTTGTCCTATATCAGTAACAAAGCAGAGAATGCCAATAAAGATCCTTGTGAGGAATCTCAGTTGCATATTATAAAGTGCTGCAAAAATGGCCATTAAGCTTATCAGCAATAAATCAGATAATACCACATACTTGTAATAGGACTGTTGTTGTCATCGCCTGGGGTCCATGACAGCTGAACACTTTTGTCGAGTGGATTTGTCAATTCTAAATCAAAGGGAGGATTTGGGACATCTGTAGACCAAAGACACACAGCATTGTTAAGCATCCCTCCTTAAGGGGTTCTCCTTTATTTGTGACACTATAAACAGAGAGGATATCTTAAAGACACAGCACACTGAATGGCCAATGAGCATGCAACTGAAACAAAATGCAAACAACTGAGGTTGCTGGGAACACACGAGCACACCCAAAAATAACTCATCAATGAGCTCTGCTCTCTGTTTTTCAAAGGCAACTGAATCATTTGTAACCAAACCCAGTGAAGCAGACATACAAGGTTCATCAGCACTCTCAGTGTGTGTCTCCTCATAAACATGAACGAGCACAGAGATGAAAAATAATATCAAAGATTAATTTCTAATACATGGGAAATAGAGAATAGCAAATGCTGAAAAACAAATACAGTGAATAAAACATACTGTTTTCAAATGTTTTTTCTGAAACATGCTGAATGATAGATTTTGTGGCTCCTAAGGAATATTTATATTCTTAAAAGAATAAGAAATGCTATGTAGGTAGCTCTCGGCATGCGTATTGTATTTACTCTCAGAGGACAATAGTATACAGACACCTGTTGAGACAAAGGTGTCCTAGAAGCATGTCTGCCTTTTCTAATGTTGCTTCTGAGATCCAGAGAATTAATGCTCTCCCCTAAGCCCTTATCTGACCTGGCTACTGGGAGTAACTCCCAGAGACCATATAAATACATGTATATATATATATTTTTTTTTTTCTTATCAGTAATGAAGCAGTAAATGTCTACAAAGAACAAGTCTTATACAGGATAATTAATGATACTATGTAAAATCCAGCTGAGATTATGCCTAAAAATTAACTTTTGTATTTATGTGCTGAATAAAGATGAGGGTTCTCTAAATAAAAAGATTTCTGGAAATAATTTCTGATTTATTTTCCAGACTTAGAAAAGCCACACAACATGGATGTGCCCCTCCTTTTGGTCTTTCTTTAGTGATTTATATTTGTTAAAACACAGAGAGTTAGTTTTCTCTGATACAAAAGTCAAATGTTCTAAACATCCATTTTTTTCTATATAAATTTCTTAAAAATGGGATTGCAAAACAACATTTATTTTTCCAAAACAACTTTTAATAAATTGAAATGAAAACCTAATTTGTGGTATGATATTAGAAATAGCTTTATAATTCTGTAAACTGTAGGTGATTGCTTTTGAAAAAGCACTATGATACTTTATAAGGAAATTGTATCAAAAAGGGACTTTTATCAAATGAAATGATTTTATAATATCACATGAAATATTTAGAAATACCTGGAAGTAAACTCAGTGAACGATTCTAGGGGTATAATGAAGAAATGATTTATTGCAGTATACAAGTGACACATATAACTGAGAGAGCCCTTTTCCCTAAGAAACACAATGATGTGATAGAGAAAGAAATGTTTTTTTTTTCTGCAAACGTGAAAGTGACAGAAAATAGAGAAAGAAGACTCATATTAGTTTACCGTAAACAGGAGCTGGAGTTGGAGTAGGAGCTAGAAAGGACATTAATATAAAGGATTTTAATCAAAATTAGTAATGGAAAGATACAAGAAATTATAAGCAGACAAAGACAGTACATGATCTAAGATTATAAAACTAAGGCCTATGCTTAGCTGTGAGACATGGTACTGATAAACATGCAGTAACAATTTAGAAAAGAAACCCTTCAATTTTAAATAAAAGTAGATTATTTTCCCCAATTTTCTTATAAAAATATCATTAATGTACATATCCACCATTTTCCCTCAGTGCTGCTATAGAGTGTATTGATACAGAAACTACCGCCTCAAAGGCATCTTTCAAAGGAGACTAATGTGGATATTAACGCACCCATGGTTATCAACAAGCAAACATTTAACATTTACAATTTTTCTGTTTTCTTTTCAGCTTAATACAGGGAAGCCAGTTGTGTCATATTTGTTCCCGTTCTTACCAACAACGCTAAGCACAGCACTGGCAGAAACGTTGTCCAGAGTGGTGTTGGCCACACACGTGTAGGTCCCACTGTCATCGTCACTGACATCTGCTATCACCAACTGATCCTTGTCGATAGTCAACCTGTTAGTATAGCACATGCAGAGCAGCTGAAACGGACAGGCAACCGCACCCTATAATTGCTTTCCTGGCATGAAACAAACTGAATTTGATAACAGAGAGACATGATAAATGTTTTCAGAAAATTAGCGCGGTAATCATATACAATATGTATCACTTAAATAATGATGGAAGTTGGAGAACAATTAGAATGAATTGGAATCTGGGTTAGAAGGGATTTTGTCATCTGGTGCAGTGGTTTTCAACCAGGCCTCTGGAGCTTCCTTAAAGTCCCAGGGGCATTCAGTGGTGGGGGGCAGCTCCAGTTGTCCTTTCTAGAGGGCTTTACCAAGGGGTCTGCTGCTAAGAAACATTAGAAAACCACTCACCTTAGTTTCCATTAAAGTGTATCTTTTAAATACTTTATTATTTATAACAGAATTTTTTGGTTAAACTTTTATAGGAGAAAATAAATGCTTTATCACTAGGAACAGGAAGATGAGACCAGCAATCTCTACTAGGAGTTTTCTGGAGGTTGCTGCAAGGTAGGAAAAATTGCTCCGTGGGTCAAAAATCAACGTATAGAGGATGCATGTGTGATTTTAATGAGGCTGAATAAATCATAAACTGCCTACTCAGGTAATCTCCAAGTTAAAGCTTTAGCTGATATAAACTGATGGTCATTTTCTCATATTACAGAGTCTCATATTTATGAACTCAGATTCCACAAATAAAACTGACCAGTTGAAGCATAGAACTAGATGGAAACTCTGGGCACACACAGGAGGCCACAAAATTCTCTTCAGGCCATTAATAAGCAATAGAGCACCATGGAGGCCCCACAGCTTTAGGCAGGTGCCAGAGGATCACAGAAACCATGCAGGGCAGAACAGGAAGGGACTCAAAGCCTGGTGCTTTGTCCTCAAGAAACTCCCAGTTCACTGATGGCAGCAGCTTTGGGGCTCATCAGGGTAGAAAGGCTATGCAGCAGCTCGGGAGCCTGCAGAGATGCGAGGGGCAGAGAAACAAACCACTCCTCCTACACTTTTCATTGGACTCCGGGCCTCTCAGGGGATTGACTTCTGCTGATACCTTTCTCCTTCTTGTTCTGCTCTGCAACTTCCTCCCATGAAATCTCTTGCAGCTTCTGGCACTTTTCCCTCAGCATTACACTTCATCTATGATTGTTTGTTTTTTCTTTTTCATGTACAATTTTTCCTTCTTTCTGAGATGATCTGGCAGCTGGTGCCTCTGGTCAGCCACCGCTGAAATTTGGTAATCTCTTAAAGCTCTTATAAATGCTTCATCTGTTTTTGTTTTTCCTTCCCTTTCCACTGGATAGCCAAATAAAAACTAGTATGTTTTAAAATACTGATAAGGATTCAGACATTCTCTGATCATTAAAGAGATCACATTTCTGCTTATTTGTAGAATGGTAATGAAAACATCTGTTGAGACTTCACTGTTCAAGCTACAAAATAATGGTTGTTGTCCAAGGTCTGAAAGGTTTTTCCCATCCCAAATTACACAGGAGACTAACACACAAAGATAGATAAACATTCTCAGGGTTCTATTTCAATGATTTGATACCTTTTTAGGTCCAAATATTTTACAGCAGGGGGAAAAATGCATATCTCTTTATGTTGGAGACAGCAGGCTTCAGAAACTAGAAACATCAGCATTAAGTCATTATATAATACAATAAACGGAGCAGGCAGGCAAGCAGCTCTTTAGTTCAAGAGCAGCTTAAAGAGAAAAGAAAGAAATCATCTTTAAATACCTTTCATCACTGGGCAGCTCACTGTTGTCCTTCAGCCATATGACAGTGGGTATTAAAGTGTGATCGTGTTTCACTTTGCATTCAAAGGACACTGTGCTCCCTCTTTGCACAACTGCATATTCAGGCTGTTTAATGATCCTTGTTGGATCTAAAATTTAAAGTTATTGTTATCCATGGACAAAGCTGGAGAATTTGCTCAAAGTCACCTAATACTTGAAAAAAAAACAATTGTTACCTTTACCTTACCTTTGATTTCTAAGTGAACTTCATTCTTTGCCATTCCTAATTTATTCCTTGCAACACACGTATAAGTTCCTGTGCTGTCCTTTTGGGCCACAGGAATTTCCAAAGTTCCATTTTCATGTAAAACATAAATATCTTCATGAAGAGCACTTCCTTTAGCTCCTTTAAACCTTTATTTACAGAAATTATCACAATGAGAGTTAAAAACACATCATTTAAAGTCAGACAACAAATGCCATATTCAAGCTCAACACTGCCATGGTCTGTGTTAAAATGTCAAGCCCAGAGACAGTTGGCATTTGCACAAGCATGCTGCATGCTTGTATGTCAGTGGGGTAAATGCAAAGACAAGACCTAAAACTGGAGACTTCAACAATAAATGGTGTTTGTAGTATCATGCTGATAGAACATAATGTTTATATTGTAATTTTTTATTATGAGAAATCTATAATTCAATAAACACATTATTACCTATTTTATCTCTAAATATAATAGTTAATAAAATAGGCAGAATGCAGGCTGCTCTTTTTGACATTTTTCCCTCAACTGTGATGTATTTGTAACTCTCTCTATAGGCTACAGTTCTAAAGAGATTTTGATTTCAAGGCTAAAAGTTTTGTACTTTTGAAAGTATCAATAGGAAAATATTTAGGGAAGGAAAAAAAAGCATGTATGTCAGATAGGTGAAGTGAGATGGAAGAAAAGGGATGAGGCAAAATCAACCTCTTATCTAAGTATCAATTCATCACCTTCAATAGGAAATTGTCTACACAAGCATCCCTGTTTCTCTTCTCTGGGGTTAAGGTGGAGGCCTAGGAGAATTTTCCTTTAATCCTAACCCTGTTTTTATTCTCACCTTCGTAGCTGGAGCCTAGCACAGTATCTGAGACCTGACAGATGATCAATCAATGAATGTTCCAATTTTCTTTTATTCATTCTTTCTGAGCTACTGTCTATACATTCTAGCCTTGTCTCTTTAGGCTCAAGTAAGCATGGTAGGAGGAACGAGAGGACTTATATCAAGAGTGGTATATGAAAGGGGATGGTCATAAGTGGGACCTGTGTCTTCAAGGACACAGGAGAGCTTGGGTGGACCCAAGTCAGGCAGATGTGGCAGGAGATAAACTAAGGAGAACCCTAGTAATAACAAATTCTGCTTTTCAGCTTATAAAAACCTCCCCCATTCCATGATATTTTATTATCAAGGACTGTCCCCTAACCAGTCCCTCCAGGGGCTACTGAGAAAGTCCCAGGGGATTTCCATGACACTGTAAAATACAGCAGCCTTAAATTTTTAAAAATTCATTTACATGTAGCTTTGTGGTTGATAGAGTGTGCTGCTTGATCATATGTGTGAAAGTGTTTAGCACAGAGCAGGTAATTAATGAATATTTGTGAATGAATTTAATAATTAATAGCATGCTGGATTATGCACTGCCTTCCCCATGTTGCTTTCTGACTAAAATCCAACATAGTTAGAAATGTAAAGGCTTTAGCAAAAACACAACACATAGGGCCACTACTTACCACTCTATGGTCGGGAGAGGAGACCCAAAGAAGGCACAGTCTAGTAAAGCAGGCCTGTTTGCAATGACCTGGTAGAGTGTATTTGCAGTTGTGAGGATTCGTGGTGGCTCAGCTAAGAATGTTTTACAGAGGTAAAGTAAATATTAGAATAGATTTTAGACCCACAGTGTATTCATTGCATTTTGTTTTAAAGTCATTAAAGTTTATGATAAAGCACAACCAACATGTCTCTGCCTCCATATTCCCTATCAAGCATGACACTACTAGTCACTCACAGCAGAAAAATACAATTTTCCTCCCTCTGCCTCATGCTTACATCTTGCTCAGGCATTATTTTAATTGTTGATTTACTTATCTGTATCTTCTATAATACTGTGAGTTCACTCCAGCCAGGAAATGGGACTTCTTATCATTTTATCTCCAGAACAGTGTCTGGCACAAAAATAATAGCCAAGTATATTTTTGTTGAATGACTGACCCATCATAACCCTAGTGGGTGGGAATTTTGGGAACACATAAACTGGCAGAAAACAGCAGAAAGATGAGTGTAATGACTAAAAAACGGAACCAGGGCAACAAAACCAAAAATAGATAAGTGATATTACATCAAATTGGAAAGCTTGCACAGCCAAGGAAACAATCAACAGAGTGAAGAGACAACCTAGGGAATGGGAAAAAATATTTGCAAACCATATGTCTGGTAAGGGGTTAATATTCAATTTATATAAGGAACTCAAACAACTCAATAGTAAGAAAATGAATAACCTGATTTTAAATGGGCAAAGGACCAGAATAGACATTTCTCAAAAGAAGATGTTCAAATGGCCAACAAGCTGTGAAAAAATGCTCAACATTACTGATTGCTAGGGAAATGCAAATCAAAACCACAATGAGATATCACCTCATATTTGTTAGAATGGCTATTATCAGAAAGATGAAAGACAAGTATTGGAGAGGATGTGGAGAAAAGGGAACACTTGTATACTGTTTGTGGGAATGTAAATTAGTACAGCTGTTATGAAAAATAGTATAAAGATTATTTATACTGTGTATACTAAAAAACTAAAAATAAAACTACTATATGATCCAATGATCCCACTACTGGGTATATATCAAAAGAAAATGAAATCAGTATGTCAAGATATCTGAACTCCCATGTTCATTGCAGCATTATTCACAATAGCCAAGATATGGAATCAACCTAAGTGTCCATCAGTGGATGAATATGATAAAGAAAATGTGGTATATATACACAATGGAACACTATTCAGCTCTAAAAATGTAAGAAATCCTGTCATTTGCAACATGTATGAACCTAGAGAACATTATATTAAGTGAAACAAGGGAGATACAAAATAACAAATACTACATGATATCACTTATATGTGGAATCTAAAAAAGTTGAACTCATAAAAGTAGAGAATAAAAAATGGAACTGGTAGTCAAAACTGCTTCTTCAACGTCCACCAATATCTTAACTGCTTAGCTCTTCATTTGATTAATGAACTTCTTTTCAAGCATGAAGGAAAAATACCAAGTATTTGTTGGCTTCCTGATGTTACTTTTGTTTGAAAAGGGAGCATACTAATCTTAAAGAGTTGAAGTACAATTCCCTGGCAGCATGAAAATAATTCTCACATAAATTTTAACAAATGTGATATTTTGCTAGTTTTATCCAATATGAGAACAGTGTTCACATAAACCAACCATTTGATAATATGTTTCAGTACATCACATTGTTAAAACATATTTTTACAAATTAAATAAATGCACGTCCATGACTTGGATAAAGGCCAAGGATTACAATGAATGGTTTACTTTTTAAAAATAAGAATCATGAAATTATTAATCAACTTGTCAGTTTCTAAGGATGGAAGAGTGGTAACGTTCAGTTACTAATAGCAGGCAAATGCTATTTTCCTTTTGATGGGTTTGACACTTAGTCTAACCATCTGTGAATGGCACAGCCTATTTTATTATTTCCATAATGAAGAATTTGCCATTATAAAAACTGTTAGGACATGGTGTGCACTGTGTGTGTGGGGGGGCCGGGGGAGGGCAGGCCTTTGCCAGGGAGAGGCAATGATATAAAATGTAACCAAGATGTTTGTACCCTCACAATATCCCGAAAAACAAAACAAAACAAAAAAACTGGTATGAATGAACATTAAAACCAGACTGCAATATCCTTTAGGGCAAGATCTGTGTCTTATCCATCTTTCTATACCCCTCATATCACTGGACACTGTGCATTGCACATAGTAGATGCCCAGTATATCTTTGCTGAATGAACAGAAAAGAACAGCAGTCATTAATTTAATTTGCCATGTCTTTAATAAAGAGAGGGCTTACCCAGCACGTTGACAAATGCATTTGCCAGTAAATATCCATATTCATTAGAGGCATTGCACTGATATACTGCACTTGATCTTTCTTGAACATTTGAAAAAATGATGGTATCACCATCAATTTTCCTGCTGGGGTCATCAGGGGCAACTGTTTGAGTGGGAAAAACAAAATATATATTTATTCCACTTTGCTTAAAAGATGTATACTACACTTGTAAAGCTTGAGGTCTACATTCCAGTCAAGAGGACATAAATACAGACCGATTCAGGTATATGCAGCAAGAAGACAACTAGAAGTCAGGCAGAAACCATGAATTTTCCCCCTCTGAATTTAGTTATTGTATATTAGCATCGGTATATGCTCAATAGTCATTTAGTCTTAAGTAGATTGATTTTGCAACACTGAATATTATTTTAAGAGATGCAGGAAAAAAACAACTCACAAGTTCAGGTGAAAACTGTACCACAAATTCAGGAAAACATTGCCTTGTTCACAAAGAGACTGCTGTTATTTATGAGGAGGCAAGTTAATGATCAGGAGGAGACAGCAAAAACTAGTCAAAAAATACAGAAACACGCTAACTCGTCCAAACCTGTCCCCTTTGGGTGCTGCTTCTGGAAACAAATAGATAAATAAATAAACATACGACTAATAATCAAATGTGAAAATCTTTATTTTTCTTGTTTTGGAAATTCCTGAGGCTGAAGTAGAAATAAATTGTGTAAAATTTCTCTTAAGGAGAGTGTTTCAATTAAATTTCTTAAGTACTTAAAAAAAATGTTAGGACCAGGACTGATTCTTACTGAATTGGAATAGAACTGCCTGGGTAATATAATATGCGAGGATTTAGTCTAAGGCAGGCCCAACAATTTGGAACTCTTGTGCTATTAGAGATGAAATCCTTTCTGTGAATGCTAAACCTTAGGTTGTGACCTTACATTGCTTTAAAAGTACACTAAAAGGGGTTTAGATCTGTCTCAGCATGCTGATCAAAATCAAAACTGAATAACAGCACTATTTCTCTTAAACTGCTTTTGCAATTGGAACCAGTTAACAGTCTTTACTTTCTGAACGCCTTTTCTTTTTCTTTGGTACTAGGAAAAGAATGTGCATCTAAGATATATTTCTCACTGCATTTAGACTCCTTTTTGTCACTTTAAAATAAAAAATATTTGGTTCACCTGTGCTTTATTAACCCACTTGAATAAAAAATACCAAACTAAAGGTAGTCATCCTTGTTTTAGTATACATACTCAAAGCATTTTGCTCACTCATTCTGTGTTATTTTTCTACTCTTGCTGTAACAAATTACCACACTTAGTAGCTTAAAGCCACACATCATTCAGTTCTGTAGGTTAGGAGTCTGATGTGGGCGTCACTTAGCTAAAATCAAGGTATCAGCAAGGCTATGTTCCTTTCTGGAGGTTCTAGGGCAGAATCCATTTCCTTGCCTGTTCCTGCTTCTGGAGGCCGCCTGCATTCCCTGGCCCGTGGTCCCCTTCCTCCCCTTTAGGGAACCAGCACTTGGGCACTCAGTGCTGGGACTCCTTCAGGGACTCTTGGTGCCTGCCCTGACTGCACCTCTGTGGATGTGCCCGACAGTGGAGTGTCGTGCCTGGGTACTTTAGACTATGATGAGGCACAGGTAGAGGTCTGGGCCGGATCTCTCTGGATGGGTGGCAGACTGTGTGAGAAAAGCCACTCAAATTCCTTGAGTATATTGAGCTTTCAAAAGTTCCACCACCAAGTGATGTTTAATGGGTAAAGAGTTCCAGTTCTGGACATCTACTGCACAATAATGTGAATATACTTAACACCACTGAATTGTGCATTTAAAAATGGCTACAACTGTAAATTTTATGCCATGTGTTTTAACCACAATAATTAAAAAACTTACACCACCATGAACATGGAAGACGAAGGCCAATTAATAAAGACAATAGGACAATTTTCCCCAAGTGGAGACTCTTTAATCACAAGCATAAACCATTTAGAAAAGCTTTTCTGGACCCCCCAATTGCACTTTTCTTTGCTATCAACTCTTTTTAGGAAGATACTTTTTACCTGAAAGGCATCTGACTGTATCTGCCTTATTTATGCTAAATGGAGCAGTCTTCAAATATTTATTTTTGGCAAGGTATTTAGGAATAAAACAAACCCTCTAGGTAAGAGTAATGAATAAGCAGATCTCTCTCCATGGGGTTTTGGGCTACATTTCCTTAAGTACTTATTTTTAAAAAATGCAAACAAATCCATGGTAACATATGGAGGCCCAGTTGGTAGCTGGACACAGAATAAAATTGCTAAAGCACAGACATTTGAAGATTTGGACACTATTTGCTGGCTACTGGGTAGAAGTAACTCTCCAACATGCAAACACAAATTACCCAAAGGAATACTGATTAATTCTGGGAATAACCAACTTCATTTGCTGTAAATAAACACTGGAGAAGGAAATTTAAGAGTACAGATTCACCATGTATAACTTAAAGCCCCAAAGGTAAGGTCTACAACTGTGCTGGTAGCCTTCAGAGAACACTTGCTTTTAACCAAACTCTCCTGACATGGCTAGCTAAAACTATAAATGTTTCTAACATTTAGATAACGAGAATAATAATGATGCCACCTTATAAGTCCAGAGTACTATCAGTCTTGAAAATGTTTTTACATCTATTGCATAATTTTATTTTAAAAAGAACATTGTGAAATAGGTTAACCAGATAGTATTATATACATTTTGGAATATGAGAAACTACAGACAAGAGCATTTAATGGTTTGTTTAAATGAGATTGACACTCAGGTTTTCTGAGTTGGTCAACTTTATAAATGTTTCCTGGAATCTGAACGTTTGGACATAATGTAGAACAAATTTCTGGTGAAGAATTAAATTTTCCTTTTCATCGACCTATTCCATCACTTAGAAGGAAATGCCAACTGAGCCCCTTAGTTTTGCAAAAAGGAAGAAGAAGGAAGATGCCTTGATAGAATTGTGGGAATATTACGGACTAGTCCTCCATTTCACAGGCTGCTTGTTTTATGTCACCGGCTTTCAGTCTCTCCTTTCCATGTGAGCAAAATATGTCTCTGCGGCAGGAGGAGGTCTTCTGCCCATTCTCATCCTCTCAGTTCCTGCCTCTCCTCATATCTGAGAGAAAAGGGGCCTTTTAACGTAATCATGGTGTGATCTTATATACATTTCATGTGGAACAGCCTGAGAGATCTAACACAATTCATACTGGAAACTATTGAAGATCCGCAAGCATTAGACTCTCAAACTGTCTTCCAGGACAGAGATAAGAATCACAGTGGCCATGGCCTTGGCCTTGGCCTTGGGACCACCACCAGGATGACTTGGACGTTCTAGTGGGGAAGACTGAGAGGAAGAAGAAGGAACTTAGGGACACCCACCTAAGGGTGATTCTGAAGTCCTGAAAGACGACTTCTTGGGCAGAAGAGAAGTGCTTTGCTCATCCTGCTAATAGCAAGTTCATTTTCTTTCTGGTCCTGAGTCCTACCTTCACACTCTCTCATCACACAGCAAAATCAGAGTTCTCTTTCAGTATTAGCTCTCTGCAGCTGTTTTTTTTTTTTTTTTTACTGACTCCTGGAGATTGTTTTAAAAATATTTTCAGTGTTTTTGGGCAAATTCCATATTGAATACAGCCTATTTTTTTTGCTTCAAAGGAAAGTCTTTAAGTAACCTGGCCAGTTCTGTGGAGGACAAAGCTTTAGAAGACATTGAGATAAAAGCCCAGTTGTTTTTGGAGTTAATTCTTTCCGTTTTATAAATTAGTAGGTTCCAGAGGTCTGAAATGCACGAATCAATAACGTTGCATTTCGCTAAAAGAAAAGGTCTTACTCCTTTCTCTTCCTGTTCCCACTTATCTTTTTACAGTATTTTTATGCACTTGGCAGCCAGAGCCTGCAGAGGCAGGAGGAGACAGTCAGTGTCCTTAGGCAAGTGCCCACAAGTTGGGAGTGGGGTGGCTGTGTATCTTGCAGTATGGTTCCCTGACTGTGCCTCTGTTGTGCAGTCAGGGGACAAACTTCAGGCACCTGGCAGGGATGCTGCACAGCTCCTGCATGAGGGTACTGCAGAGGCACAGCTGTTCCCCTGCCCTTCACCCTCAGCAGCTGGTCCACCCACAGTTTCTGCAGTGTCTTGGGTGGAAAGTGCAGTTAGCAAGTCCGTTCGTGCCCCCAGCTAACTTTTGGGGCCTATGCTAGGCCCCCAGGAAGGTGAGGCGTCCTCACTATACTAATTCAGTGATGCCACATACTGTGGCAGATTTTGCTCTCAGTTCCTACCCCTGCCTGTCTGTCTCTCTCTGGCATTCTTCCCCCGTGGCCCCAGCATTGCTGGATGCATCTGTGGGGTGCACAACTCAGTGGACTGCAGATGAGAAACAAGCACCATGCCCTATTTCCAGCATGGTCCCCAAACTGCAAAGGCAATTCTGTTTAGGCGTCTCTAAATTCATGGGGCAACTATCAAGCAGGGTGGAAAGGGGCGAGGCCAAAGCTGCTCAAACCTCTACCAATTTTTTGGATAGTTTTCTTCCTCATTTACTCCTTACTTTGGATTGAGGAAGTCAACACACAGTGGAGGCACGTGTGGTTCACTTTGAACTTAGCTGTTGGAGTGTCCACCCAGAAGCCACTCAGCAGAAGCTGCAGACGGGCCAGCAAGGCGGAACAGCTGTGCCTTTGCAGTTTCAGTGTGTACAGAGCTGCGCAGGGGCCCTGCCAGCCCAGCACCTTTCAGTTATGAGCTGCCCCAACAGTAACCCACGCACTTGCAGTTTGGCCACCAGATGTGGAGAACGACCCACATCACCTTGGCATTCACATCCAGCACCTGCTCCCGGCACCATGGGGCGGCCTAGTGGGGCCTGGCCCCTTGCTCTGCTGCCACGCCGTGTGCTCTTCCTCTTCTTGCGTGTCCACCAGAGTGACTGGTCTGAGGCACTCAGGGGATCCTAGAGCTGTAGAATTCCAATCATATGTGCTCAGCCTCCTTTTTTCCATCCCATGGGGACTTAAAGAATATACTTTTGGTATGGAAAAAACGAACTGATTTGAAATCTGATTTGAGACATTCTGCCCTCTTTCTGCTCTGGACTTAATCAGATGATTTAGGGTTACAGTAGAAGGGCCTAATTTGTCTCCTTGGAACTATTGTCCCCTGCCCCCAAAGCAGCCTTTTGCAGTTGGTCCTCACCACAAAAGTTTCATGTAAAAGGGGAGTGTCTATAAGTGCATTTTTAAAGCTCTTAATACAACTAGAGTTACGAGGTTCTGTCACAGGCACTGCCTATGCTGGGCTATGGTCTGAATGTTTGTGTCCCTTCAAAACTCATATGTTGAAACCTAATACCCAAGGTGATGGGTATTAAGAGGTGGGGCCTTTGGGAGGTGATTAAGGCACTAGGGCTCCACCCTCATGAATGGATTAGTGCCCTTCTCAAAGGCTTTGGGGAGCCTGTTTGCCCCTTCTGCCATGTGCAGACAGAAGATAGCAGCTATGAGGACCGGGCCCTCACCAGACAACACATCTGCTGGCACCTTGATCTTGGACTTTTGATCTCAGTAGGAACTGAGAGCAAAATCTGCCACAGTATGTGGCATCACTGAATTAGTATAGTGAGGACGCCTCACCTTCCTGGGGGCCTAGCATAGGCCCCATTGCTCACAGCTCCAGAACTGTGAGCAATGAATTTATGTTGTTTATAAATGACCCCGTCTAAGGCATTTTGTTATAGCAGCAGGAATAGACTAAGATGGCTGGTAGAAAAGGATGACCAGCTGAGCAAGTTGGGAGCAAAATCAGTCTCAAGATCACATCCTGGTTGCTGAGCTTAAGGGTTTATCCTTTCAACATGCCCTGGTTCCCCCATTCTCCCTGCTGGGTGGCTAGATGGATGGTCCCTCCCACTTGTCAGTTTCACTGAGTCTGGATCTCAGGTGCACTTTTAACCTCCCATAAATTGGCACAGAATCTCTGAGCTGTAAACACATTGTGAAAGTGCTAAGCACGCACCACCATTGATTACTGCTCTGTATGCATTCCTAAGAAAGTCATATATTGTGCCATCAAACTTCTTTAGTCCTGGCTTTCTTCCACTTTTCCTCTTAGTTTTCACTCCCATTCTCCTGAGAGTGGCAACAGCTTCCTGAAACACAACCACAAATTACTCTCTGCAATTTCGTCTGATCCCAATCATGATTAAAATTGGGAGACAAAATGCCCAAACCCCATTTGCTGGCCTCTTTAGAATCTGTTTTTTCCCAGGAACATCTTCCTTTAACAGTAAACACAGGCTGTCTGTTTCAAAGCATCTGATAACTACTGTGCTATATAACACAAGAAAACGCCCAATACATCCTCATGGAACAGGGTGAAGTTACTTGGTGTAACTCTGTGGTTGTCAGACCTTCACGGTGAGAAACAGGGACTTGGGCCACTCTAAATCTGCCAGCAGTTTCCAGATCCATCTTAGGAGGGGAGACTGTGCATTGCTTTGGGAAAGTCAGATCAGTAGACCTTTTAGTTATGTAAAAGTGGAACCAATATTTGATTGTGACTTGGAGGCAATTGAGAGACAATCTACTCTACATCACAAGCCTGAAGGTTGTCTTCATTGTGAGTAAAGAATATCTTTGCAGATAATCATGATAATGACAGGAAGGGTGAACCTGGGGCCGGTGTGATACAGAAACCGATTTTCTCTGTCTCTGGGTCTATGAGTAGCTCTGAACTCCAAAAAGGGTAAACTGTTCAAAGATTCTGTCGGCAGCAGCTGGTGGTGGGTGGGGTGGAGGAAGTGGAGAGTTAGCAGGCTTTCTGTTCATGGCTATGGCTTAGGAATTCAGAAGCAATGAGCTGCAATGTCCATTTTAAGTTTTTTTTTTTTTTCTTTGCTATAATTCCTTTCCACTATCCCCAAGCCTTTAACCAAGTTTTGTAAAACTGGTCTTTGCTGTGATTTAGCAGATTGACAGAAGGGCTTGTGGCCACATCTTTGGGTACTGTTATGGGAAGCTGGCAGACAGGAAGTGCAGGAAGTGGGGCAGCAGAGCAGGGATGCTGCTGAATAGGTGACAAGCACAGGTGGGCTACACAGTCTTGCTCAAGGATGATCTCAGCAGTACTCAAAGAGGAAAAGCTCGTCAAAGACTGAGCAGCCTGCGTATGATTGGGGTCTGAGGATGGGCTCTTCTTTGGATAGTAAATGAGATGGTGACCTCTGAAGACTGGAGAACTTAGGAACATCAGGCTATACTTAGGACTGAAAATTTTTAAATTAAAACTGTCGTGTTTCTTATTCTTGTCATATCCACTGGCTCTATGCTTAGCATCCCCACCCATCTCCTCTGACTCCTATGGTGTTTCCATGAATCATTTGATTTTTTTTTTTCCTTTGGAGACATAGTCTCGCTTTGTTGCCCCAGCTAGCATGAGTGCCAGCCTAGCTCACAGCAACCTCAAACTCCTGGGCTCAAGCAATCCCCCTGCCTCAGCCTCTCAAGTAGTTGGGACTATAGGTGTGAGCCACCACACCTGGCTAATTTTTCATTTCTATTTTTAGTTGACTGGCTATATATTTTTTTTTTCTGTTTTTAGTAGAGACAGGGTCTTGCTTTTGCTCAGGCTGGTCTTGAACTCCTGAGCTTAAGCAATCCTCCCACCTTGGCCTCCCAGAGTGCGAGGATTATAAGCGTGAGCCACCATGCCTGGCCCATTTGATGTTTTGAACAAGGAAGATCATCTGAAATTTTTGGTGAAGTTTACTTCTGACCCTGTCATTCTTCCCACCATGCATGTAAAAAACAGAGGAAATATTGCCAACTCCCAATCAACGCATACCATTATGTCAATAGCATAAATGATTCAAAGTCAAAATAAATATCTAATTGTGAGAAAATAAAACTCTAAAAGTAATTTGGCGGCTTTGTTTAGCATATTAATAGCTTCCTTTCCTAACTGGAATTATTATTATTATTTTTTTTTGAGACAGAGTCTCACTTTTGTTGCCCAGGCTAGAGTGAGTGCCGTGGCGTCAGCCTAGCTCATAGCAACCTCAAACTCCTGGGCTCAAGCGATCCTCCTGCCTCAGCCTCCCGAGTAGCTGGGACTACAGGCATGCACCACCATGCCCGGCTGATTTTTTGTATATATATTTTCAGTTGGTCAATTAATTTCTTTCTATTTTTAGTAGAGACGGGGTCTCGCTCAGGCTGGTTTCGAACTCCCAACCTCGAGCAATCCGCCCGCCTCGGCCTCCCAGAGTGCTAGGATTACAGGCGTGAGCCACCGCGCCCGGCTGGAATTATTTTTTATTGCCATTTTTTCACTGTTGAGATGTACGTATGCTCTGAAAATAACACTACAGCTAGAGCCAATCCAGGCAACTTACTTTCTACTGGGACTCCATTCGTTAACCAGCTAATTCTGGGTTTGGGTTTGCCATTAGCTCTGCAGATCAGGGTCCCATCCTCTCCTGGTGACAGCACAAGATTTTGAGGTGCCATGATCCAGTATGGAGCCGCTTTATTGGAGGAAGAGGGAAAAAAAAAAGACCAAAAATCTTAATCAAATGTGTATTTTAGCAAAAGAATAGGTTGAACAAGTTTAATAATAAAAATAAGTACTTTGCAAAAAATTTGTTAGCCTCATTTTTTCAGAAGGAATATATTTATAAGTGATGCTTCAAAGAACACAAAAGAATGTTTAAAGAAACTCATTGACATCTATGTACTATTTGTAGAACTGTTTGATACAAATGTCATTGTATCATTTTTACATTAAGACTAATCAGACATCAAAGAGGTAACAGATTTATCTAAGGCTGTAGAGCAATTTATAGGTAAAGATAGAGCTAAGAAACATGAATTTAAATTCTGATCCCTGTTGAATACATGTAATTATAAAACTAGGAAGTGAATTTAAATACTTCATTTTTGAAGAATTGCAAAGGTAATGGAGAGTGTTCTCATACACCCTTCATTCAGCTTCCTCTAATGTTAACTAAATTATATACTTTGTTAAGACTGCCCTAGTCTTTCCATTAATGTCTCGTTTCTATCTCAGGACCCTACCCTAGATACCATATTATATTTACTTGTCCTGTCTCTTAGTCTCCTCCAATCTGACAGTTTCTTGGTCTTTCCTTGTCTTGCATGACCTTGACACTTTTGAAGAATACTGGTTAGTTATTTTGTAGAATGCCATTCAACTTGGGTTTGTCTGATGTTTTATCACAATTAGCCTGAAGTTTGGGATTTTTTGAGAATACCATAGACGTGATGGACCATCTCAGGGAATATATGAAGGCAACATGATTTATTGTTGGCGAATATCAACATTCATCACTTGGATTATCAACACTCAGGTGGCATCTGCAAGGTCTCCCTACTGCAAAGCTACTGTTTTCCTGGATTCCACACTCTGTCCATTAGCAGTGAGTCACTATGTCCAGATGACACGCAAGAAGAAGCGGAGTAAACTCCATCTCCTTGGGGAAGGAGTATTGAAGAATTTGTGGACATATGTTAAAACTGCCCTAGTAATTAATTTTTAGGGGGAGAAAAGAAGCACATTGAAGCTATGCATATATTCTGTTGCCTTAAAGTTTCACCCACTAATTTTAACATTCATTGGTGGATCTGCCTACAGCAGTTATTGCTGTGGGATTCTAATGATGATTTTCTATTTCTCTCATTCCTTCCACATTTATTAATTGGAATTCTTCTATGAGGAAGATCTTAAGAAGGAACATTTTTAACCTGATTTAGATGAACTATAAATAGCAATGAGAGGAGATTCAAGGTACCACGAATGTTGATATAAATTTACATTTAACATTATTGAAGAACATAATGAAAGACATATTTAATTGAAGTTTCAGGATCTCTCATGAAGGGAAGAGGAATACATTTTAAACAATGATATACCTTTAACTGTAACAGAAATGGTATGATGGATGGCTCCTAAAGCATTTTTTGCGATACACTGGTAATTTCCAGAGTCTGCTTCTGAAACATGAATGATCTGCAAAGTTTTCTTAAAGTTCTTATAAAATGTCCGGTTGATGGGTAGTATTCCATCTTCTTTTATCCAGTAAATAACTGGGGTAGGCCTGATAGGATAAATAAATAGTGATATTACAAAAAAAGAAGTCCACCTGTGACTGCTTTTGAGGGTGAATTTTCATGTGGGTTTATAAGAAATCTTTATATAAAGATCACAAGAAATATATAGATATTTTAATTAGCACCAAAGTTCTATAAATAATGCTCAAAGTTTTACATTTTCATATAATCAGAACTATACTAATTTATGGCAGACCATAAACTTTGCCTTCAATGATGCAGTGTGAATGCTAGCATGAGTTGCTTTACAGAACGAGCCTATTTTTCTCTAGAGTTCTGATCAATGGGAATCTTTTGGAAATTTTTACATGAAGGTACTATGCCAATCAAAAGACATACCATGACATTAATGATACTGAATTACAATTTTTCATCAGTTAGAATTTAAAACATACAGAGAAAGAACTCATATCTCTGCCCATGAACATTTATATACATTTACATTTCAAATGGAAGAACTTTTGTATTTTATAACAGACCATTTGATGATATAAATCAAGTGATTAGGGGAATAGCATACTTTCTTTAGTTTCCTTATTAGTAATATTTAAAATTATTATCATACCAATTGATAAAAACAGATTGAACTTATGTGTTACTCAAACCATTTCTCACCCAACTATGTTTCTTATTAAGTCATAAAATATGGAGACAAATGAAAAGCCAGAATACAGGCTTGGAGTTAGAAGATCTTCACAACTCTAGCTCTCTCTAAATTTCTCTCTGATCTTGGATCTCTGACCTCTTCAGGCCTTAGTTTCCTTAGTTTCCTTAATGGGGATAAAAATGCTTGACTTGATCTAATGACTTTAGAAGGTTTTCATGAGGGTAAAATAAAAATCTATTCAACATGAACATGTCCTAAGCACTGAATTATGTGTTGGAGGATAATAATGAAAAAGTATGGTGCAGGCCCTCAGGAAGATCACAGCATTTGTCAATAGAAATGCAAGGGGGATTCATTGATTGTAAATTGGTTTCGGTCTGGTTGAGTAAAAATAACTAAGAATATATATCTGATGAAACAGATTCTAAAAGTAAAACAGGCTATAAATATAAAAAGAAGTGGAAGATGTGGAATCATTTTGAAAAACGAAAATATTATACGCCTGTGGAAGCTAATAACATAGTTTGATGTTTCCTTATAGTTAGACTAATCTGCATCTCATATGATCTGCAGGTGAGAAGGGAATGGAGACAGAAGCACAATTATCATAGTTTGTACCTCACAAAGCCATGAATGGTTTTGGGGGCCTCCTACTCTACTGCACAGTTGTTAAGAATTAGAAATATTTTGAGTCTATGACTGGTTGTTGGTTTGTAAATGATAGAGTCTCACTGTTGGTTTTATAACATTTCAAAGTTTTGAAAATTTCTTTTGGAGTTTTGTGAAATTTCCAAACACCAACCATATTTTAGTTTTTTACACAATATATCATTTGTGGGAGAAGAAGTCCCTAAATTGTGAGAATGGGTACTTCTGCTCCCAAAAGGTGAGAGGTTGGCTGATTAAACTGCTTTCTTATACGATGATGATGAAAACTGGAAGTTTTTAAAAATTTTAATTCTGGTGGAAAAGATGGATTTTTAACATGTCTTTAAAAGGGGGTTTTGCTAGTTTTCAGTTGCTCAAAGAACTGAGTAATGCATGAAAGTGTGATTTCCTGCCTTGGCCAGCAGAGGCCTCCATGTGCCTCCTGAAGGAAAGTTATTCCTGGATTCAGGAAGGAATGTGAGACCAGTGAGTTACTAGGTCAAGGGCAGCTGGGATCACAACACAACAAGGCAGCGTGTTTCTGAGATCTCTTTCCAGATTTCAGCAGATGTGCCCATACCAATGGTACTTGCTCTGTGCCGGGCCCAAGATAGGGACTATATAGAAACTTGCCTATAATGTGGACCTAACATAACAGTTGCTCTTGAATCTGGGAGAGCCCTTCCTGCAACTCCTGTCAGAATCACATCAGTTCTGGGATGGTTTGAGTTTTGAGGTGTGCATGGACGAGATAGTTCAAAGAATCTGGGCTTGGCCTTGTGCCTGCCAATAGGAAGTGGTGGAAGGGACATCCTGCTGGTCCTGAGGCTAAGAGTGTGCGATAAGACTGCTGGGGGGATGTGAGAAACTCATGGCCAACAGCTCAGATGCCCCAGCAAACATCCAGCAGCCCCTGAGAGTCCTGAACTGCCCGCTGAGCCCCCTAGCAGATGTACAAGCATGCTTAACTGAGATTAGCCGAACCTAGCTGGTCAGAGCACTACTGCCCTGCAGACCTCGGGACAAGGGATCAATAACAAATAGCAACTATTTTAAGCTAGTAATTTCTTAGCTGGTTTCTTACCAATTAGTAAAATGATACATCCTAATTATAGTCACAGCAATCATAAGGTGATTATTTCAATATGAACTCTATCTCATGAACAAAAGAGTTTAACAGTAGTATGAGATTCACAAAATATACTTTGGAAATAATTACTAAATTTTTCTTAATGCTTGATGGAATTAATATAAGACAGTTACTCTTCCTATGATATTAATGCCTCTCTACAAACCTGCTATACTTTTATAAGAAATGCACATCAGGGCAGAAAGTGTTAACTCACAGTCCTTCTGCAATGCACTCTAGTGAAAGCACATTTCCTCTTAATTCTTCTTTGTTACTTGCATTGCCTTCTGGAGTTAAAAACGTTGGTGGCCTCTCTCTACTTGACTTAGCTGCAAATAAGAAAATCAGTATGCATTAAAACTTATAAATATGTATTTCTGGAAACACAGTCCGCTGTCAAAAAAGCTGCCTGAAATCCTAATCCCTTTTCAAAACTATTTAACATTAATTATGAAATTTGTTAAACTCTACATACACACTCTCCTAGCTAGCCATCACTCACTCAGTTACCCAGGAATAGAAACGATTTTGGTTGCATAAGCACTAATAATAAGGACTGTTTTTCCTTTTGTGTATTTTCTTAATTTGGGTTAGGTTTTTATAAATTTTCTGTGGGATATTATATCTTTAAAATGTTGACATAGAGAAGAAAATCATGTTATCAACTACATTTTCTTTAATGTTAGTGTTCAGGTCAAAGCAAAAATTAACTATCTTCTGAAAGATGTTAGGATTTTCAGAAAGATATGATTATGGAAGGGATATTTTGGTTTATACTGGGGACATTATAGCCAAATCCACTGATTAATCATATTAAGATCTCCAAACTGCAAGTTTTATGGAAAACAAAACTGGAGAGTTATTGACAGAGGCAATTGTATGCCATAAATTAAGAATAATGGTGGAGTTAAAGAAATTGAATCAGTTTCCTCAATGAAAAAATAAAGAGGGTCTAAGTCAGAGATCTTAAGGATATTTATACAGGCCACCTTCCTATTTATGGAGACTTTTCCAAAATGAAGTCTTATCTTCTGAAGGCTTCTCAGAAAAACTTAAAGTGGAAATTACACCATCTTAGTAGGGTTTAAAGGAATGAGTTCTGGACACCTTATCCAGAATCCATTATTTTCACTGATAGACTCTATATTTGAGAACTATATTTCCCTTAAGGAACTCAAATTCATTTCTGTTTAAAGGAATGAAGTTAAATGCTCTATTTTTAAAAAGATTACTTCCATTAAAGACAGTGACTTGATTTTAAACAAAACTAAGAGAAGAACTATCGCTAATTATACTGATAATATCAAGTAAAAACAGAGAGGAAATGTAATGATTTACTATGAAATCCACTTAATGTTACTTACTAAAGGCTTTGATGAGTCAGTATTCTAGCAGGTTAAGAGGTTCAACTCTAACTTAGTTCACAAGAAAAGTTTATGAACAGGACAAAAAGTAGAAAATAGAATTCTGAACATACATGAAAGATTTTTTTCCAAATCATGTGAAATGGTCCTTTACATGAACACAGTTATAACAAGTTTCATTGTCATACATACATCATGGAAAATGTTCTAGTGACATGCTTGAAAGTTTATAGCTAAAGTTCGTAAGAGACATACATTTATACTAGTGGTATTAAACACGTAACTAGAAATTTCATAAAGAATAAGGTTAAATAGCCATGGAGGTGAAGTTAGTGGACTAAATTCTACAATGAAGGAGAGAATATCAGTCACAATCACCATAACTCACCACTATAAAACTCAGTGTCACTCAAATTAGCAGCTATAGTGTCATTCAATTCATCCACTGAAATAAACAGAATATTATGAAGAGGGCACAAAAGTAGTGGGGGAGGGTCAAAAAGTATTGGGTAACAAAAGCAAATGTATACAGCTATGCTGGTCAAGTGCTGTCCCTACCAAGTAAAAACACTACTTTACATTGTACATGACTAACTCCTTAATTCATTAAGCCACCCCCAACCAGTAATATGCGAGCATATAAATTAAGCTGCAAGACTGCCAATAAAAGGTATTGTGGGGCATAAAGCACACATAAATGCTCAGAACACCAAGTGATTCAGAAGCTTCTCATGGAACCAATAATGGCAATAATAGCAAAAAACTTAAAGTACGGTACTTAGGCTATGCACACTCTTTATAAGACATATACCAACACTTTAGTGATAATTCACAGCTAGTTTCCTGATCAATGGACCTGTTTACTTCAAAGTCAGTAGTATTTAATAGTTAATATATTTTGTACATATTTGCAAATATCATTGAAAGAGAGATTCAGGAAGCTGAACTCTTACCTGAAATCACTTTTACAGAAATTGGTTGCTTCTGCTGTATGGTTTGAGTATGATTAAATCTGGCATAGCAGATATAGTCTTCCCGGGTGTCCTCTGGGAGGACGTTGGAAAAATAAAGGTCCCCATTCAGACCTTGAGAAACCCTCTCACTCTGTGGAAGTCTTTGAAAGGCTAGAGAAAGGCAGAGAGATATACAGATCATTCCATCGTTAAGTGGCCACTCTCCAAATTAACAAGATAAATGTGTCTACTGATGCTTTTCTGAACTTCATTTGAATATAATTTTTTTTCTCTATAAAGCTCTTTGGGTAAAAGCAAATAACTGTAAAAAATATATATGACACACTAAAACCCTACCTGAACCTACCCAACCTTAATTTCTCTGGGGTGGGAACAGAGGTGAGATTAGAGTCACACAGTGAAGTGTTTTATTAAGCAAGTGTAAACAAACAAATGTTTTACAAAAAGGTTGTGCGACTTTTTCTAATATCAAAATTAGTCCCTAACTGTTAAACACAAATACACATGTATTTTAGAAAATGCATTAAGGAAGATTGTAAGGATGGTAATGTGGGTTGCACCTACACACCACCAATGGTCAGAAAGCAAATACTTAGGTGAGCACCTAACGCTAAGCTAGGCCCATGCATACCAGAGTCTCAGGCCCACCTGAGCTCATGACCCAACTGAAAAATTGGGCAGGGAGTGGGCCATTAACAATAGAGTGCAATGATGACACTATTTAATGCTGTGACCTGCCCCAAAGAAGCCCCCCAGGCCCAGTCTCCCTCACCTTCTCTACTTTTTCTTTTCTGAAGTACTCATCACCTCTGACACATAACATATTTTACTCATCATACATATGATGTATTGCCTGTCTCCCCGCCACTAGAATTTAAATTCCAGAAGCGTGACACTTTCACCTGCTTTGTCCACTGTTGTAGCACTGGAACTGTGCCTGGCCCTTCACAGGGGCTCCTTTAAATTCTCACTGAAGGACTAAATGAATAACCACCAGGACTCTGACTTTCCAGTGTTAAGCATGATCATTTATATCCCCTCGGGTTCAGTTAAGGAACTATCTGACCTTAGGCATGGAAGAAAGATTTTCTTTTTCTTTTATTGACACATAATAGATTTTACAAATTTCTGGGGTACAATGTGATGTTTTGATACATCTATACATTGTGTAATGATCAAATTATGATAATTAGCATATCCATCACCTTAGACATTTATCATTTTTTTGTTATGAGAACATTCAAAAGCTATTTGATATATGCAATGCATTATTGTTAGCGATAGCCACACTACTGTGCAATGGAGTACCAGGACTTATCTGGAGGGAAGAGAGTGGATGAAGGATGCCGGGAGGTGGATGCACTGATATGTATGTGAATTTACACTTGGCCGGCTAAACTGCATCCTACAGCTCCTGATTCAGTTCACAGAGCCTTGACTGTGAGAGAACTGGGAACACTGTACATCCCCATGGCCTAGGGCAGGTGTCATGCCGCCTGGCAGGATTTCTCCATTTGAGTCAGGCGACTGTGCTCCTCTTGTGGCAGGTGCTTGGTCTAACATTTCACAAAATGCAAAGTTGTGGCTAAAAGCCTGCAGCTCCCTCAGGCAGGGAAAGGCAGAGAAATGTGGAGCCAGAGTTTGAAAGAAAACTGGTTAATCATGTTAACCAAATTATTGGTCAAGATGGGGGTTGGTTGCAAATTCGTGGTTTTAAGCCATTAGTCCCCAGGGAATGGATTATTTTAAAAATAGCTCAGAAAAAATAATGTATATTTATCTAATGGATACAAAGAGTTGAAGACAGACAGACATCTGTTGTCTTCTGTTTCTCCTGCCGTATTTTATCGATGACAGGTGTTGGTAGATCAAATGTAAGACAATGGAACTACACGAGGAGAGTGGCATTTTGCCATTTGAGTTCCTTTGCATTACATTTGAAAAATAATGTATGCGTATACAAATAACTTCATAATGTCATCTTGCAAGAAGAATGTTATAATGGATCGAAATCTCCCTCATATTCCAGATGCAAGTCCATTTGAAAGGTGAGATGCTTTACCAACAGTGTAAAACGTACATAAATGACATAACCAGCTGTGCAATGTGGGAAAAATATTAGAACGTATTCAGATGATTCTGAGACTTTACACATGATATGTCTCTTTATTAAGCAACAAAGGTCATCATTTCTGAATAAAAACCAAGGACCAAATACTGGGCCTTATTTTGGCAGTGACATTTGTTATTCTTGAAGCCATACAATCACTCATTTACACTTGGCTTATTCTTATTCTTGCAAAATTTGTAAAAGCTGTTAAATAATAATAGGAAAAATCCATTTGTACATTTATTTATCTACATATTTGTTTTTCATTTCTTTGTGAAGTAACCTCATATGTTATAGGAAATAGACTATATTTCCTATAAATATTTGTAATTCATTCCTACCACTCCACCTAAAAGACTTACCAATGTTACCAGTGATCTTTGGGTTGCCAAATTCAGTAGTCATTTCTCAGTCCTCATGTTATCTGATCTATTAGCACCATTTGAAGCAGCTGATCATGCTGTCTACTGTCTTTTTTTTTTTAGATAGGGTCTTGCTCTATTGTCCAGGGTAGAGTGCAGTGGCATCATCATAGCTCACAGCAACCTCAAACTCCTGGGCTCAGGCAATCCTTTGGCCTCAGCCTCCCAAGTAGCTGGGACTACAGGGGAGCACCACCACACCCAGCTATTAATAATTATTTCTATTTTTTGTAGAGATAGTAGGGTCTTGCTCTTACTCAGACTGGTCTTGAACTCTTTACCTCAAGCAATCCTCCTGTCTCAGCCTCCCAAAGTGCTAATATTATAGGTGTGAGCCACCGCATCTGGCCCATGTTGTCTTTTTGATGCACATTCTTCACCTTGTCCTGGGATACCACTCTCTCTGTGTTCTCTTCTTACCTCAGTGACTACTCCTTCTCATCTGATTTGTTGGTTTCTCTCTAAGTCCTGGACCTCTGGAGGGCTTCTGGCATCAGTCTCCCAGGCTCTGTACCTACCACCTATACCTACTCCCTAAATTCTCTCATCCAGCCCAGCACTCCAGGGAGCACCTGTGCACTAAGGAGTCATACATTGCTGATTATAGTCCTGGATCTTCCTTCTGACTCATTTATCTCTGACCCTTGCTGGGCACCTTAACATGAAATGTCTTAATGGGATGCTCACATCCCAAACTCTGGTTTCTTAGTCTCCAGGCAGAGCTGTGTGATACCTCCAAGGTAGCACGCTGACCTATTAGCTCAGGAAATTCTGGAGGATCGAAGAGGCACAGTAATAACTAACTTCCTCAAAGATAGGGACAGGGATAGACAAATTAGAAATTGCCTAATGGATGGCTTCATTTCTCTTTGCCTCAATTTCCTCATCTGGAAAGTAGAAAGAATAATTGTACATGCTTCATAGAGTTGTAAAAATTAATGGGATGACCATGTAAAGTTCTTATAAAGGGACTGGCACTTAGTAAAAACCTGATGAATATATGCTATTTGGGGGATAAAAAAATGAAAATATAAGATATCCAAAACAGCTTGATTTCTTCCCTGCTATGTAATTCTGGAAACGGCACTTTCATTTCATCAATTGTTCAGGCTCCAAACTTTCTAGTTATCCTTGATTCCTCTCTCTCAGGCTTCTACCCCACGCACTCTGCCCCACAAAAAAAATCCCTGGGGCTCTACCTTCAAAATGTATCCAGAATCTGACCATTTCCTACCCACTCCACTCACCCAAGTCCAAATCAACATCAACACTTGCCTAGATCACAGAAGTGGCCCCAACCAGTCTCCCTACTCTGTCTTTTGTACTCCAGGAAATGAAGTGGTAGTATTCCTATTTATTTTATTGTAGATAAAGTCACTTCTTCAGTGTTTCCCTACTTCATTTGCAGCGAAAGGCAAAGCTGTTTCCACTGAGTCCCTGTGACCTTTCTGACTTTGTCCATCACCCTCCTCCTGGGCTCCATCAGTCTGGTCACCTTGGCCTCTTTGCTCTTTAAAACACCAGCGATGCGCCTTCCTTAGGGGCTTGCACCAGTGTCCCCTTTCTACCCGGATATGTAGCAGCCTGGTTTGCTCCCTGCCCTCAGGTCTTTGCTCAAAACTCTTCCTTGTTTTTCTTCATAGCACTTATTGCCAATTTTCTAAATGCATTTATTATATGCCTTCTTCCTTACCTCCCTCTACTCCCACTGCGTAGGATGTAAGCTCAGTGAGAGCAGGATATTTGTTTAGATTATTTAGAGCACTATCTGGCACATAGTAAGTGCTCAATACAATTGAGTGAATTGATGATGTGACATGTTATTTATTTCAATGAGTAGCTATGTTCCTGAGCATCTCTAAAACATAAACATTTTGTGAACCACAAGAGGTAATAATTTATCATGACAGTAAACAATCATAAGATTCTTGGAGAAAGTTCGTATTGTCAAAACTTACAATTATCCATCCAAAATATTATAGGTGGTGGTAGTCCAACTGGGGGTCTGCAGGGAAGTACTAAAGATTGACCACTTCGAAGTATTATTGGTTCAAGTTTTTCTTTGGTCCACAATGGTGACCCTATTAAGTAAAAATAAATAAATAAAAAATAAACTTCTAAGTTATTTCTGCACTGATCAATAAACAAAGACAGCACTACAAAAGAAGGCAAACTGAACTCTTGGGAAAATAGTAACTTAGAATGTATGTATATTAAATTAATGAGAAAATGATTTTAAGTGCAGTATTAAAAGTAAAAGAAAGTAATTAACATAGTAAGAACTGACAATTCTCATTCACTGCCATTGATAGTATAAATTCTGAGTCAATGATTCCAGGGCTAAGAATTTATACTAAATGCATCATCAGGAAGACACATAATTTCAATGTAAGCATGTTCTTCACAAAAGAATGGAAAACACTTAAATGTCAAAAGATTTGTTAAATAAATAATTGTATATTTACACTTTGAATACCATATAGTATATAAGTAGACTTGTTTATAAGGATGTCATGAGAATATATACATGATATATCAATACAATAGAAAAGGTTATAAAATAGTATTTCAGAATGAGCTGGTTTAAAACACATACACACACATCTGCCTAGAAAAAAACGGAAAGAATATTTGAGCAGTAGCTATTTCCTTAAATGGAAGGATTCATAAGCAAATTTTAAATTTCTTTTTGGTTTATTTATAATTATTTTTTCTATAATGAACACATATTATACATGTAATAAATTTTTTTTTTAAATGAAAGAACTGCAAATGGTCACTGTAATTTAAATACATGCTCTTGAGGTTGTTGAGAGGATTTTGGTACTGACCACTGCAAAAAGAGCCACAATGATATCAAGGTAGTGAAGACACTCATTTGAAACAAAAATGCTTGATTATCTATATGATACCGAATTTATTTCCATCTGGCCATAGGAATTTTGCTTATATATAAGATAAATGAGAAATAAATAATTAGGTAATTCAGGGAAGAAACACTTTTTTTTTTTTAACCCTGGTGTCTTATTCAGGACTTGTATGAAAGACACATTGGATTAGCAAAGTATTAAGCTGAGGAGCTTGTGGAAAGAAGCAATAACTGTCATGCAAAATAAAGTCAGAATATTGGAAGCAATGCCACTGATTTTTCTTATAACCGTATTTGGATGATGTGACAGAAGCTGGGTCTTAGAGCAATACTTTAAAAAGGGGCATATTTGACTGATAAGTCCCACTTACTGGACGGGCGGATGACAATGTTATTAGAAATTGCAGCTCCACGTTCATTCCTCGCTGTGCACTGATAGACTCCTTCGTACGTCTCAGCTTTCCCCTCACTCATGATGTTGATTATGAGCGTCCCTGAGCCTGGCTTCATGGTGACAAGAGGGTCTTTATCTATGTCAAAATGAGTCCCATTACGGGTCCAGGAAAAGCTGCCCAACACATGAAAGATTAAGTGTGTTAATGGTCCAGAAAAATAGGATTACTCACTCTTTAACAAATTCCTAGCAGTTTTATGGGTTTCCAGAAATAATTACTAGATTTTCCTATTCAGTAAAAGAGCAATAAGCCCCTATACCTAATATGTTTCATAGAATCATGACTTAGAAAAAAGTGCTGACTTTACATTTTAAGGTACCTATCTTCTGAAGAGCTAGCCCAAATCTGACCCCATAAAGAAATCATGCACGCATATTGCCTTTCATTTTTCTAAGAAAATATAGGAAGCAGGTCTCTCAAGCACGGTCTCTTAGAGGTTTATTATCATTTTTATTGTAAACGCCACTGTTCAGAGAGTTGATAATAACCTGCCTATAAAAATTTGCTCTGGGCTAAAATGTGACAAGAAAGCCCTCTACAAGTACTACCTATATGTGTTGAAAATTGATCAGACCAGTTTCAAGTTACCAAAGTGTAAAGTGCAGGTTGAGAAGAGAGTAAGAGATATGAGTCATGGGTGTTTTAAATGTTGATAATTAAAAGTGGTAATTCTACATAAAATATAATTTGTGAATTTTTAATTCTAGAGACGATTTTGTGAGTTCCTGAGGAGTTCTGCCAAATTGTCAACTGAGATTCCTCTTTCTCAGTTTGATTTATATTAAAGATTGCCTTATATAAAAGTCACAATGCTCATGTAATTAAATACTTTATAACTAGTCACAAAACAATAATGGCCATGCTCAGACACAGGCATGAATCTCTAAACTGCACAGTGTTTTCTGGACCCACGTGGGTTTCCCTTCCTGCCACTTATCTTCAGAGCAGTGGTTGTGAAAACTAGGGGAGGAGGTGGTGGATGCAGGCATCTGGTGGGCAGAGGCCAGGGATGCTGCTAAATATCCTACAATGCACAGGACAGTTTTCATCCCCACAGCAAAAAAAATTACCCCACCCCAAATACTAATCATGCTGAGGAGGAGAAATCCTGCTTCATGGAGAGTTACAGAAGGTATCAAATAAGTGCAAAGCTGAAGGGAAACTCCATCAAAGGCCATCACATCAGGCTTGCATGAACGAGGGTTTCCAATAACATGGCAGAATATACTGTTTCAAAGCAAACCTTTGCTTGAAGTTTTGACATAGTGCGTAGGTATTTAGTACCAGTTAATTTTTTTCTCAGGTGCTAGTCTGTGATAGCTTAACAAGGCCTGTATTAGGCAAACTTGGAAATAAAATATCTAGAAATTTTCACTTCCTTATGACTAAAAAATCCTCATTACATTTTAATAGTACAATCCAACTTTCCAAAACTGCCATATATTACTAGACACATTATAGATTATCCCCTGTGGGACCTTGGATAAGTTGCCTAGCATTACTGGGCACCAGTTTCTCATCTATAAAATGTATTGGTTGGACTGAATTATCTCTAATATCTCTACCAACTCTAAAATGCTATGCAGTGTTCATGCCCAGATTTGGCATGAATCCTGAGTATTGAAATCCTGCCAAGTTTGGAAAACCATTTAGGACAATTTTATAGGCTGCTATAGAAGAGATCTTGAAAGTCATCAATTCAACTTCTTTCTTTTACAGATGAGGAAACTAAAGACCAGAGGAAAGGGGTTTGCCCATGTCATAGGGCCATTATTGTCAGAACCAGGATTAGAAGCCTCTTTCCACATCTCCCCACAATTATGAGCATTTTTTCAGATGGGGATTAGTAGGGAAATGTCAATAACCTAGGTTTTTAAGAAGAAGAAATTGGCTCTAATTCAGCAGAGAGACAAAACAGTAAACCTATAGATGATACTTAAGGGATATGCAGAACCTAAGAGTAACTTTGGAAGACCTTCACTGTCTTTGAAGGGTCAAAATGGGATGGGGAGTTGGTTAGATGAACAAAAGGGTAATCTAAATACCCAGCTAAAACAAGAAAGTGCTCCACCTGGCTAACCTTATTCTACTGAAATTTCCAAACTTGTTTCTATATTCAGAGAGATCCCCTGACTTATTTTCAGTACCATACCAAAACAAACAGCAACTCACCTTGGAGGAGGTTTCCCTTTGGCCTCACACTGGATTACAATATTCTCCCGAGGGTCAATAATGTAATCTTTTGGAGATTGTTGAGTGATGGTTGGAGGTTGTACCACTTAATTGTGGAAAGAAGAATAATGTAAAGGAATAAATCATTTAATATTATAATAGCAATCATTTTTTTCCTGTATCAAAATCTCTTACCAAAAACTAAATGTGCTCCATGTATTTTTTAGTAATTTTTGTTGTAGCAGCACCTACCTCTGTAGATTTTCAATGAAATTCTCCTAAAACTGTGAGGTCAAGGCATAACTTCCTTTTGGTAACTTTATATGCACTCACAAAGTCCATTTTCCCACACTAAAAGTTTGGGAAAATAATTGCCAGTACAAGCCTAATATTAAGACAGTTTCTTTTCTGATGTAACAATGAGAAATTCTGATTTCTTCGGTTCAGATGATGTTTTCCAGTGAAATTTAAGTTATGAGGTAAATTTGCATGTTTCTGAGGAAACAGTAACTGACTTATAGTTCATTAGTACCCTACTATAAATTAAAATATATGTTGGGAACAAACATTTGAGAAATTAATATTAAACATTTTTTTAAATTGGAGACTTGACATGTCTTATTAGATCTAGGATGTAGGTGAATTAGGTTCAAAGATAAAATGGTCTTATTTGGAAGATAAATGACATTGAGGAAGTTCTCTGTTCTAGGAGACAATGTTTCCATTTTGCTCTTCAAAGTGTTATCTGTTTATTCTCAAATCAGAGAGAGAAACTGTTCTGGCTCAGAACAAACTAATCTGAAGAAAGCTGGTTTCTAGACCTCTAATGATCTTCAAGCGGTTCTAAGATCACTTTGTCCTTCTTGTGAGATCATAGTTACAGAGTGTTAGCACAGGAAGGGACTGGAGAATTAATCTACTCCAACCTCATTTTTTGCTGTTTTAGGATGGCAAAATGGCTCAAGTAGGAAAGCAAAAAGCAAAGAGAACCAAACTTTCTTGGCTAACTCCTGGTAGAAAGCCACAGCCTTGCACAATTCCATGGAGAGCTGTTTACACAGGCCAGTGGTCCTCAACCAAGGGCAATTTGTCCTCACCCTTCCAGGGACATTTGGCCATATCTGGAGACAATTACAGTCATCATGACTGGGGGCGAGGTGATACTGGCATCTCGTGGAGACAGGCCAGGGGTGTTGCTAAACATTTAACATTTAACAATGTACAGGACCCCTGCCCCCACAACAAAGACTTATCTGGCCTCACATGTCAGTAGTGCTGAGGCTGGGGCAGACCACAACGGGATGGGCACCCCAGAGCTGCGCAGTGCAGTGGCCCTGCTGCGGTATGCTTTCCTCTGCAGCATGCAACTTTCCCTAAGCCTCTCTTAGACTCTCACTTTCTTTTCCTTCCCTGCTGTATTTGACATTCTGGCTCATGTGAGTTGTTCATCTTCTGGATGTTCCCTTTCCCCTCTGTCCACATTGTGCTTCCTTTGCAAAACTTCTTCAATCTGCCAACCAAGCATTTCCCAAAGCTCAGTAACTCTCCTCTGCCCTTGTCTCCCTCTCATGGTTATTTGTTGCAAGGGCTAAATGTGTCATCTCCACATCCAAAGTCTTATAAATCTGCAAATATGGTTCTATTCTCTTGCCTTGCATCCAGTCTTACTGCTGTTCGCTGGACAGCTCTTACTAAATATCCAAATGACACCCAAAGTATAGATCAAAAGCTAACCTCATTACTGTCAACATTCATCATGCACCTATTTATGCAGGGTTTGGGCCACTGTCAATTTCCCTTCCCTTTGGCAATATCTCATCCCCCTCCTAATTTCCCAGCCAAACCCAGATACTCTTCCAGCCTCCATCATACACAGGGAAACCTCCTTCATCTAGCACCGTCAGTATCCAACGCTAGGTAGCAGTTTGGTGTGGTGGTTAAGAACCAGTCTGTTTGTTTCTTACTAGCAGTGAGACTTCAAGGAAATTTCTTAACTTCTGTAAGCCCTAGTTTCCTCAGAGGGAAATGAGGTTTAAAAGTAATATCTACTCCCAACTTTTGGGAGGATTAAGAAAATGATTTGTATAAAATTCTTAGTACAAACCAATGCTATAATGGCTCAACGATGTCAGCTATTTAAAAATTATCATAATCATTTTTATTTGGACCAGACTCACCTTTGAATGATCCTTCAGGCTTTGGGACTATAGAGTTTGGGATAATAGAAGAAAGCCTGGAATCCCACACCCAGGGAATAGTGGACATAGGCAGTCGAGGAGGGGATTCTTAGGAGTGACATAGCCCAATTCCTTGTGTTTTTCTGGGAGTGACAGAGGTGCAGATTTGGTGGTTTCAAATGCAGAGCTTCTATTTACATGCTGAACTGGCTTAGACGCCACTCCTAACTGTCAGTAGTTTACTGTCTGGATGTACCTCTGACCAGTGCTTAGGTCACTCAACAATTAACAAATGCTTTGCAGTAATAAGGGGAAAAAGTGATTTTACATAATTTTTCTGGTTAATCCAACATCAAAGGATATTTTTGAATGCCTGAAAACTGGCTATTTTTTAGCTAGATGATAGATGCCTGGGGCAAGCCACTCAGAAACCACGTTGAGTGGGAGCTGCTTATCTTTTGCACATTTCAAGCCAATATTCAAGTATTGGCTATTTGAATATTCAAGCCAATATTCAAGCCAATATTCGCTGGGATATTCTACTTATGACACCTAGAAACATCAGTCTCCATAGTCTTGAAGAGTAAAGATGTATAAGAGGGTATATAGCTGCTGACTTAGGTAAAGCTTCTTCACGTACCCACCTTCTAAAAGACATCAAAAGACATATGCTCCAGAGAGCATTTGATAGCATTTAGAACCAGATAATCATTCTCTCCAAATTTTGAGAATTTTCTCATTGAGTTACATCAGAAGTGAATAAAGCTTGGAAGTTAGTACAGCAGCATACTGGTAAAAGAAAGAATAATACCTGAGTCTTCAGAATTCATGCAGGTAATATATTACACTTGCTTCTTGGTATTTAAATGCAATGCTTAGCTATAGTAAATGCACATGCTTAAAAAGACACTCATCACAAGACATGAAATTGTGCATTTAATTCACAGTATTAATTCAAAAAACAAAGACATGGTCAAACTTTCACACTGCCCAGTAATTTATGGAAAGACACTTACAGTCTTCAAGAAGTTTTGCTTTTTCCCCATCAATATCAGCAGGTGAGTGGGCAAAAAGGATTAAAGAAAATGAGATGTTAGTAATAAGAATGTTAGAACCCTGAAGATAAAAGGGGCAACTGGTCTATTTGATTTGACCTACAAAACCCATATAGTGAAGATTGAGGTTGTAAAGTTATAAGAGACCAAAACTCACATTAATAGTTTTGTTTACTCCTACAGCAGCTTTCCCACGTAAACACATGGAAGAACAAAAGCAACGCTGTAGGCAAAAAATGATTCTTCCAGGAATAGGAATGGCTAATTCCATTCCATACATGTTGTGCCGGACAAGCAATTATGTTCAATTTGAAAAATAGCTGAAATCTACAATTAATTTGAGTTGTCACATGCTGTATAGTGTCTGATCCCATTATCCCAGACATCACTATGCATATGGTAATAATACCTAACAATGGGCCATTGCTATAATGACAATGCTCCATCCAAGCCAAGTCTAACACTGATTTTAGATTTTTATATTTCTCTGGTTAATCTCCAAGTCAGTAGTTGAACTTTTTAGACTGTTAGCATATTTCTGCTTCAGAATTCCTCAATCACCCAGGGGTTCCTGGTGCCTACGTCGAGGAGTAGCTCATGTACTGGAGAAAGGGTGTAAGAAACAGGGGCAGGGAAGAAATTACATTAGCATGCAATTCAGATCATTCCATAGTGCTGCCTGTCATTACTACTTGCTAAGGTTAATGCAGGAGTGCCTGAGTTAGCCGTGACTTTCTTTTCATCATGGTTATGCCTCTTCTCCATTAGCAGCGATAATTGAGTTAGCCGTAGGTGACTGTTTCCCTCTGATTGTTAGATTGAGCAGTCAGATTAAGGGGGAATATATTTAACACCAGAGAGAACAAAAGCATTTCTCTCAAGTGCTTTTCTTCCTCTCCTGTGTATTTGTCAGGGCAAATGCTTATTTAGGCATTCCTACTCCAATGGGTTTGAGCAATTACATATATTTTTGAAAATTGAAATTATGGTCATTGAATGCATATTTTTTAAAAATAAGAAAAATGTTGCATTTTATTGTGTTTCTGACTATAGAAGTACAGTGAAGGAAGTCAACAAAGTGTGGGGCAAACCACATCTCTTCTTAATGTCTTCCCACTGGCAGTTGCAACCTCTATGGAAAAAAAGAAAAAAATGACATCCCAACAATTGAACAGCCCTAGGAAAGCACTATCTTCCTTGCACCTTGCAAAGCTTGCCAAACAGATGTTCTATTCAGGAAGCTAATGGATTTAAAGAGGTCGTGCAGATTAAGGATAAAGGAGAAATCAATTCTGAAGTACAGTAATTGTCCAGACTTGAAATTCTGCTTTCCATTGCAGGAAAAGAGACCAGTTGGACCCTAGCATTATATTTATTTTTCATAATCAAGCCACCCAGATCAGGGAGAGTGCAGCGTATGTATATTTCACTATTAGGAAAAGAGTGGGTGAACATAGTAGCTGTTGTTTGTTCCATGTTAGTGTTTTTGCATATTACTTGTTTTAGTCTCAAAATTTGCATCTTGGTCTTTGATCACGTTGTTTAAACCAAACAAAACTGTTTTCCAGGCTGTAGATAAGATATTTTTCCTAGTTCTAGACTCATGTTTAAGACTTACAATTAGAACGTGAAATGTGTGTTGCCTGAATCAAGAGAAATGAATTATGTGTAGTCTGGGGGTTCCAAGGAGTGTAGGGCTGGCGGAGAGAGCATCCCGCATCTTTGCAGAACAGGTAATGGGAAGGTGTGGAGGGGCAGCAGGGAAGTCTCTATGATCCTTTTAAGGTGGTTCTTCTAGTTTTCTTGCAGGACTGCTTCTCTAAAGAGCCGCCTGTTGGGAGGCTCCAGGAGCAGAACAACTCACCCCTTCTCAGGCTGTCCCTGCACACAAAGGCACCTGACTGGTAGCAGGAGAACAACAGGGAGGGAACAGTGTATCTGGCCATTTCAATGGCCATTTCTACAGTGTGAGTCTTTAAAAACACCAGGTGCTGAAGGTGAAAGCCAAATTATTTTTGATTAGCTTTTCAGTATCACACAGACACCTTCTTCATTCGAGCAGTTCAGAGAGATAGTAAATGCCAGGAGGCTTTGACTCCCAGGCCTAACAGCTTTAAAATGTTAATACTTACGATCAAGAGGTACTTCCAGTGCACTAATCATCTGGCACAGGAAGAGAATCAGGGGCACTCTGCCTGCAGATAAGCGCTTCTTTTTCGGCATTATTTTAAGCTGCATTAGCTTAACTCCTGCTGAGACCCACAAACGGAATTTCCTTTTCTTCTTTCACAAAAGATTTTGTGAAACTGTTGTGTGCAGTGTTTGAATAATTTTCATGCAGGGAACTGAAAAAGGATAGAGTCAGAATAATAATTATAAGGTATTAAAAAGAAGGAAATGAAGAGCAGAAGTCTGTAGCACAGGAAATCAGCCCTGTATTATACATGAACTCTGAAAGAAAGCTACCTTTTAAATATTTAACTCTCCCGACTGGAATAATCATTTATTCATTAATCAGCTAAAGTCAGTTCAGAAATACATGTAGTGATGTCAAGCTACACCTATCTACTTTACCATCCTTATGGTTTTTCCATTTTAAGTGGTATTTGTATTGCAAGTGCTCAGAAGGTACCACATCCTTCCTAGTAGATGAGGAAAACTTGGCTTTTAAGCCAGTTAGGAAGCAATCACTTTGTGATTTTAGGAGGGAGGCCTAATGGCTTCTCCATTCTAGAGATTATCCCTGGGAAAGTTTAGGGCATTGTTGCAAATTTGCTTCAAACCCAAAACACTGATTAACCAGCTGAACACCAACAATTCAGGTCTTCCCCACCTCTCGCCTAGGCAACAGCCACAGACCTGGCTGGGCTCTGAGTTCAGGCCTTTCTCACCACGGTCACCCTCCTTCACAGTGCAGATTAATTTGTTGTTTTTTTTTCTAAACGGTCTTCTCTGGTTAAATATTAGATAGATCAAATACTTGATCTATCCAATAAAGTCCAGTATATCCTTAAACAGTATTTGAAGACCTCAGCGATCTGGCCTCAATTTATCCTGTAAGCCTTACTTCCTCCTATTTCCATATAACTATTTTTTTTTGATTGTTTGATGATTTGTTTCTGTTTTTCCTTCTTGTGTTGATCCTTCAGTATGCCTCAAATCTTCTCACCTTTTTGTCTTTGCTTATTGTATTCCCTTTGTCTAGAATGCCTTGTCCACCTTATATTCTTATCAAAGTCCCATTTATTTCTTATAAATCCGTGAAAAGGTCACCTCCAAGAAACTCTAGCTGATCACCCCAACTACAAGTCATTTCACTACCACTTCTGAATTCCTGAAATTCCTTGTTTTGAACATCACATACATTATCTAGATACATTAACAAATAGATCATTTATATTTATATAAATATGTATATTTGTATACACGCTCTCTCTCTCTCTCTCCTGCTCCTTCAGCAAGGATTGTGTCTCTCTCATCTTCGGATCCCTCTCCCACCACCTGATATATTGTGCCTTGCACCTGGAAGTGTTCACTGCACAGTGGCGAGCATGAGCATAAACACAGAACAGAGGTGTCTCTTACAGGAAACTCCTACCTGAAATGACAGGTGCAATCATGGCTTCTCCTTAATGAAGAGAGGTGGGGGTGACCAATGGCTCTCTCAAAAAGGTGGGAGGGATGTTATTGTCACAAACTGGGGTAGCTCCTACAGGTTGAAATACTGGACTATTTGTGTATTCCTATGATGTCTGTCTTTCTCACTAAACTGCAAGTCTCCTCAGGGCAGGGCCTGCATCTGTCCTGTGCCCACTGCACCCCCAGGGCCCATCACGGTGCCTGGCACACGGTAGGGAGTAAATAAATATTTTCAGGGAAAAAAATGAATGAAAGGAGGAAAGAGGAAAAAGGAAGCTTAAGATCTTTGGAGTTGAGGTTGTATTCAGACACGCAGTCTGACCATGGTCCACCCAAGGCTACATTTATCAATATATTTATACTGCTTGGTTTAACAACCAAACTCTGTCAATATGGCCAAATTAGTTGTAAGATCCTGGGTGTGTGTGTGTGTGTGTGTGTGTGTGTGTGTGTGTGTGTGTGTGTGTGGAATAGAGCTTAAAGATATAAAAGGAATATCAAACAATGCTCTGCCCTATGTATTTTGCTAGCAATTGAGTTCTGATTTGAACATGGTTAAAATCGTAGTAGGACACTTCTTGCAAAACAAATTTAAAAAAGAACTTAACAGGCCAGGTGTGCTGGCTCACGCCTGTAATCCTAGCACTCTGGGAGGCCAAGGCAGGTGGATCGTTTGAGCTCAGGAGTGCAAGACCAGCCTGAGCAAGAGTGAGACCATGTCTCTACAAAAAGAGTAGAAAGAAATTAGCTGGATAACTAGAAATATATATATACACACACATACACACACATACACATATATATACATATGTGTATATATATGTGTGTGTGTGTATATATATATATAAATTAGCCAGGCATGGTGGTGCATGCCTGTAGTCCCAGCTACCCAGGAGGCTGAGGCAGGAGGATTGCTTGAGCCCAGGAATTTGTGGTTGCTGTGAGCTAGGCTGACACCATGGCACTTGAGCATAGGAAACAGTGAGACTCTCTTCCCCGCCACCAAACCCCCCCCAACACACAAAAACGAAACAAAACAAAACAAAACAAAGAACTTAACATACTAAACATAAACATTATACTTATATAAGTATTATAGTATAAATAAAACATCCATGTTATGTGGTCTTACTTAACAGCCAGGAAATTTGTTTTTCTATGTCATAAAATATGAATATTCATGTCCATTAAAAATTGAGAAGCAGGTATAGCAGCTCACTTAACCAAGTCTGACCAAAATACTCACCAGACTTTCTGTGTGTGCAAAGCACATCTATGTCACTTAATAAATTTTACTTAAGTGTCTCACAAGTTCTCTGTTGAAATGCTAATTGTGAATTCACCCAAAAACTTTAGGAAAAATAAAAATAAGTGACACAAATGGCACTAAAACAAGCTGATCTTACATACTACACATATTAAGAGAAAACAACAGAGCTAAATCCTGAGAAAACAAATAGTATACTTGTCTGATTCCTGTGTCATGCCAAAGAAGTTTATTCAAGTTAAGTGCCAAGCTCTCTGAATAGGGGCTGGATAAGTAATACAATTTCCAGAAGATGTACTAATAAATTGTAATGCCTGTAAGAACTTAAACAGCTACATACAATTTCTGTTATAAGTTCTTCTTTATTTATTTTGCCTGGATGCCTAAATTGTTCATGCTCCAAAATAAAGAAAACCTTCAGACAGCTTCATTTAAAAGAAAGTATCAATCAACCTTCTTTATCATTTTAGAGTATATACAGAGAGTAAAATATTTCATACTAAATCACAGTGTTTTATAAAGAAAAAAATTAAAATGTTAAAAATATTGCAAGAGAACTTACTTAAAGAGATATGAGTGAATAAATCCTCACACTGCTGGGAGGTCGTGGACTATGATAAGTGAAGATGTGTTCTCTCTCCAGAAGTTTAAGTGAACTGTACCATTAACCACAAATCGTCTCTAGAGTAGGTTCTGTTAGGGGCGGACAAAGCAATGGTCCAGCCTGTCCTCTGACTCCTGCCCATGGAAAATCACCCACTCCTCCTACGGATGCCTTCATAGGTGAAAATCCAAGCACAGAAGGACAGCCTTAAGTCCCCAGCACTCAGTCAAACTGAAAATCAAATACAGCTACTGAAGACTGAGCTTTCTCTCAGCAAGAGTAATGCGCTCTGCAAATTGCACAAAGAAAAACCACTGCCATGCACGCTCAGCATTGATGTCAATGCCCTGCCCCACTGGAGCCCATCTGCCCTGTACTTCACCTTGGAAAACGATAGTCTTCCTTAAGTGAGAATCATGAACTAAAACTAAATTGTTTATGTAATTATACTATAATGAATAAAACCCCATTTAAAATAGCAGCATCATTTTCAGTGAAGGCTAATGAGTATGTTAGTGCAATATAGCTCATAATTTGCAAAAATATATTTGCCATAGACATTTTAAAGCATGCTAGCATGGGACAAATGGTAGGTTCATTTTCTGAAAATAAATCACCCTGATATTTAAAATCTCATATATTATTAAGATGAATGAGAGTAATGATAAACAGTAAAGCCCTTTTATATTTCATTTCATTTCACTCCCTTCAAAGCAACTTTTTGGATGTTACCTACAGGACCTGTGAAACAGAGTTGGGGGGGACTCTTCTTCAATAAACTCTCATCATTAGACAAGAAATTCAATTCAAGGGTCCCTTACTTCTTTGGCCTCAAATTCATATTAAATCACAGAGCAAATGTTCCCCAGTATAATTTTTTTTTTTTTTTGCTATATGTTTCTAAAGATAAATCTAAAGCTTTGACAATGGATTCACATCAAGTCTGAGAAAAGCAGCTCTGCTGTTGCTTACTTAAGAAGTATTATCTTTAGAAAGAAAATAAAACCTTTCTTTTACTCTCAAATGAAGGATGAAATTATTTTAATGAAAAAAATAAACCAGTTCTCTACCAGAATTGGAAGGCCCTGCATCACTTGCCATTTCATTCTTCTCTGCGTTTTTCAGCATTCCAACATGGGTGGGTTCAACGTAGATTGCACACGTAACATGATCTACACTCCCCAAACCGATAAACAAATATGCTTATGTGACTGGACACCCTCTGACACACCAATTATTGCTCTGATGACCCATCGGTGGCTGGCCTCTCTGACTGGACAACTAAGTGGGTGTGACATCATCTTGCCTGTGAAAGGAGTTTTTCAGAAGTCAACTTGGCGATGGTCACTTTTTATATTTTAAATATTTACCACGAGGAATAAGCACATGAATGCCCATCCTCAGCCCATGCTTATGCTCACCAATCACAGATTTTGAGTCTGAGAGTGTGGAGGAAATGTTAGAGAGAATTAGATAATGACTATTAATAGTTAACACATCAACAAAATCACTGTGATATTTATACAATTATACAACCATCAAGCACACCTCAGGAAAAAGTAGTTCGGAATTATGGGACTATAGGGAGTATAATGATCAAACAACAAGGCAAATTGCATGAAGCTTTAAGGAACGTCTTTCTACTTTCCTTAGTACAAAGGAATCTCCCATAGTAGAGTTTCTGCAAGCAATCTGACAACTAGAACCCTGAGGAGCACCTAAGGAAAGGTGAACGATTAACAGGTGGTTTTTACCCAAATAACAGGTGATTGAATACATCCTGATAATAGCTCAAAATCCTACTCCTCACAGCACTATAACTGACTATCTTATTT